TGATCCCGCAGAGGTGTTTGCATTTTAAGAGCAGAGGAGTTGATGGCACCTGCTGATCAAACCAAGGGCATCACTGCCATGGTCGGTTTGGGAGGTTCTGGGCGGGATGGTGGAGTGGGAAGACGGCCGCAAAGTGGTTGCAGAGGCCCAAGTCCTAGTCCCAGCTCTGCTGCTAATGTACTAGATCCAAGGGCAAGTAGCTTCATCCACTGACACCAAGTAGTTACTGCTCTGTAAATCATCTGCCTTGTGGGAATTCAGGCTTCCGGGGGCGGGTGGGGGAGGGTTCGTGCACAGGGGAAATATCCTCCTTCCCTTTGGCCCGGCCCTCTTGAGGTGGCTCCGTTCTGGGGCCTGGTTGCCAATCCCCGGTGTCACCCTTGTGGGAAGAGGATGGGACCTCTGTCCCCATCCCCCACCCCAGTCACCATGCATGGATCGAGATACATTTCCAGAACCTTTCTGAACCTGTTTTTTTACCTCTTTCTTTCTTTTTGTACAAGGACCGAGGAAGCAGAGGGCATTTTGGACCCTCAGGAGTCGAAAAGGTTAAACTTTGATGAGACGTGTGCTTGGAGCCCTCTCCTGACCCAGCTCTGGGCAACGGCGGCCCTTGGCTCCCTCTCAGGTTAGGAGTTGCTAGAGCCCAGCACCAGCTGGAGCAACTGGGCTTCTGTCTGTCTGCCTGTCTGTCTGGGGTTTGCTGGGGGGCCAACCCTGGGGACCAGTGCATCTGGGATGGTAGCTTCAACAGCCAGTGATGCTGGGCGCAGGCTCGTCAGTGGAGCCAAGGTTCTGGAAAGGCCTGGGCACCTGGACCAGGACCTTCCCGTTTCCAGACCAACCTGCTGTGTAGGTGGGTCTACAATAAATCTTGTTCCTGTAAATCATATCCTCTTTATGTACTGCCCTACCGGGACAGCTCAATATTCTTTGTTGGCAACCTAGTTTCTCCTTAAGAAGATATAATTGATGGCCAACTGGGGAGCATCTGGAATAAGAATTGAGCTGCCTGGAGTCGCCTCACTTGCTCACATAACAAACACCAACTCAGGCTGACCATGGGCCTGACCTTGCGCTGCATGCTGGGGCCACAGGGGTGAACATGACATGGTCTCCTGCCTCCCCAAATTCCTGCTTAGTGTGGGGCTTCTCAAAGCAGGCTTCCCCCAAGCTAGATAGAAGTTCCTGTACTCCCAGCTGTGGTGTTTGCGCGATACACAGAATTAGGTTCATTAGTGGCCTGAATTTTTCTCAATTTTAACCCTCCCTACCTCCTGTCCCCCGTTACTTTTAAAATGTTGGTAGAAGCTGGAATTCTCTAGAATCTGGTATCAAATATTACCTGATTTGCCAGCAGTCCCTTTAGTTAGTTGTTGGAAACTGCATACCTGATGCTTCGTAGCTGCCAGGGGCTGTGTCCCCAGGACGAGTCTGATCTCGAGGCTGCAGATTTGCCCAGTTGGAATGCAGTATGACCAGCGCTAGATGCTAGATGTGGGAGCAAAATGCTGGGTCTTAATTTTGCCCCTGCCAGAACTTGATATGTGACCTTGGGCAACTTGTTTCTCCTCTGACCCTTATTTCTATTGGAGTCGACAGATGAGGATTTTAGATAATAACTACCATTATCATGGCCACAATTTATCCAGCACATACTATTGCTTAGTACTTTCCATGTATCATCTCATTTGATCCTCACATCCATCCTGTGGTAAGTCCTATTTCATCGCCATTTTAAAACGGGGAGACTGAGGCTCAGAGAGAATGAATGGCTTGTATGAGGTTGCGCTGCCAGTGAGTGATAAGCCCTTTGCTACCTGGCAGGACCAGGGTAGGGCTGAGGGTGGACCTCGGGCAACTCTAAGAATTCTTTCTGGCAGGCACAGAGGATGTGCGTATCGACGAGAGAACCGTCAGCCCCTTCCTGCAATTGTCAGATGATCGGAGGACTCTAACCTTCAATGCCAAGAAGTCCAAGGCATGTGCAGATGGTCCGGAGCGCTTTGACCACTGGCCCAACGCCCTGGCTGCCACCTCCTTCCAGGCTGGGCTGCACGCCTGGGTGGTGAATGTGCAGAACAGTTGTGCCTACAAGGTAGGCGTGGCCTTAGGCCAGCTGCCCCGCAAAGGCTCTGGCAGTGACTCTCGCCTGGGCCACAACGCCTTCTCCTGGGTCTTCTCCCGCTACGACCAGGAGTTCTGTTTCTCACACGACGGGCAGCACGAGCCCCTCGGGCTGCTGCAGTGCCCGGCCCGGCTGGGCATGCTACTGGACCTGCAGGCCCGGGAGCTTCTCTTCTATGACCCAGCCTCGGGCACGGTGCTCCACACCCACCACGCGTCCTTCCCTGGGCCCCTCTTCCCAGTCTTCGCTGTGGCTGACCAGACCATTTCCATTGTCCACTGACCTTTGGCACCGGGGAGGCCAGACCTGCCTCCCCGCCATTCTTTTAGGCTATGTTTCTACCCAGTATCCTTTTCCCAAACATTGCCCCTGGCCACTGGGCGGCTTTAGGACGGGTCGGCATCGTTTTCAGATCTGGGCAAGACCATTAAATGCTGCCTGTCTGTGGGGAACCTGCAACTCCCTGGACTTAGCCTCCCAAATGCACTCCCTGAGGCTGTCTCCTTCAGCACCTCATCTCTGCCATCCAGCATGGTGCCTGAGGAGCGTGCAATGCGTATTTGGCACTGAGTGGGTGGGTGGGTGGGTGCATGTAGAAGTGGTTCCCTGGCAGAAAAGCCTGTGGCTGACGTCCTTTCCTCTCCTCAGTTCAGTGCTTTTGAGTCCTTTTCATGACATGGCACATAGAAAAAATATTTTTCTAGCACACAAGGACAATCTGGAAGGGACTTAGAACTCCCGTCAGACCACTCCTGGTCAGAGGACTCTAGCCTGGGGGGCTGTCTGGCCACTCAGAGACTGAGAAAACCTGATCTCCAGGTAACCTGAGTGCAGCACACCCATCAGCAGCTCTGTGCCGCTTCTGGCGGCTGACCTCCGGCCGGGCCCACGGGGTAGCAGGGACAAGCGTTCCCCTAGTAGCCGGGATGAGCTTTCCCCCAGCGGCCGCTGATGGCCCCTTCTGGCAGTGTGGGGACCTGCGGTGAGAACCTCGGCCAGAGAAAGCTGAGGGAGTTAGAGGGCCAGCCTTAGAGAACATGTACATTATTAAAGGTTTTGAAAGATTGAAAAATTACTTCCATGTTCTTTGTTGGTAATTGGGCAAACCCCACAAGGGCCTGCTCAAATCTTAGAAGTGTGTTGCCTAAGAATTTGATGTCCTCCTTTTCCCCTTGCACATTCCTAGATGTAAGCAGGTGGCTGGGCTCAGCATACACAGCCTAAAGGGTCCAGGGTCTGCTCTGTGCCCTGCATTGCTGGGACCAAGGGCAAGTCCCTTCCTGGTCTCTAAGGTCACATTAGAGCCGTGGTCCTCACATTTTTCTTTCACTGGGAGACAGTTCAAAGGCCATCTCACCTACAACTTCAGGCTGCTGGGCTGAAAAATGGGGCCAGAGCCCTCCCCACCCTGAAAGCGTGCTCAATAATTTACTTGAAACACTGGCTGGATCAAATCCAGTCCACAAACCTATTGGCGACTGTTTTTGGTTGTGGTGACTTCTGAGGCCCTTGTGGCACTGAAACCATGGCTCATGACCCTGTCCTCACTGCCTGACACTTGGGAAGTTGTCTGAGAAGAGCTTCCCTGCTCCCAAACCTGGGTCAAAGCCAAATCCTTCTAGATGGCACCCGAAGGCCCTTACACCATGCTCCCCAAACCACCAGTCCAATGCCCCACAGCAGCTTTCAGTCCATAGTTCACAGGCTGCTGCTAGGGCTACCTTATCCTTCTGCCCACCTAAATGCCAACTCTGCCCTGGCTGGTGTGGCTCAGTGGAATGAGCGCTGCCTGCAAACCCAAAAGGTTGCTGGTTCAATTCCCAGTCGGGGCACATGCCTGAGTTGTGCCCTGGTCTCCAGTTGGTGTGCGAGAGGCAACCTATCAATGTTTCACATATCCCTCCCCTTCTCTCTAAAAATAAAATCTTTAAAAATTTTTCTAAAAAGCCAGCCCCAGTTCAGGGTCCACTCCAGAGCCTTCTCTGGCTGTTGGCACCAGAACGTAACGGGCATGGTCTGTACTTTTCTCCTGTGGTATCCCTGTGCATGGCACTGGCTAGGGCACAGAGGTGTCCAGTAAATACCAAGTAGAGAGGTGTGTGAAGAGGGGAACGGCAGGAAGAAACCTGGAATTTAAAATACCCAGCCTACGTCTTCAATCTCCAGTATTTCTCCCCACATGTACACTCCTGCCTCCTTGGGCTCTGGTCCCTAGTCCCTGCGCTTGCCCACCCCTACACTAACCCGCTCTGACTGGGGTGCCCTTCAAGACGGAGGTCCTTGAGGACTCCTTCCCTGTGGTCCAAGGATCTCCACTGAACTGTCTCGTGACATGGATCCCTTTCTATTTTCACCCTAGTGGTCAAACCAACGGGCTTTGGAGTCAGACATGCCGAAATTGGAACCCTGGCTCCCTCATGTACGAGCTGTGACCTCAGGCAGACTATGTAACCTCTGAATCCGTTGTAGAGTTCGTACTCCCTATGCCCACTAGGTAGCTCTGAGGGCTCTGTATACATATAAAGGACTAGCAGAGCACCTAACACACGGCAGGGGTGGGGAAGAATCAACTTTCTTCTCATGACTGTAATTGTGTTCTTTGTGGTCCTAGAGAACATGTCCCTAAGCACAGTGTAAGTTCCTCTGACCTCAGGCTGTGGGGGGTGAGGGGAGTTGTAGAGGCTGCAGGGCCTGAATGAGGGGACCTAGGACCTCTGCTTCAACCTCAGCAGTTTCTCATTCTTTTCCTGTGTTGCATATTGGGATTCCACGTAAGATCTCCCATGAGAAAAGGGCCCTATTGCTAAAATGAAGTTTGAAAGTACTGGGTTGGCCAAAAAGTCCATTATATTTTTCCGTAAAATAAGACACATTTTTCATTTTCACCAATAACTTTATTGATTTGGGTATTTTGAGTATGTCGGCTACCTCCTGCTATTGGCTTCTAGTGGGTAGAGGCCAGGGGTGCTGCTAAACATCTTCCAATGCATAAGATAGTCCCACAGCAAAGAATTATTTGGCCAAAAATGTCAATAATATCAAGAAACTTCACAAACCACTTTTGACCCATCCAGTCACAGCACCTTCTCCACACACTGCACAAATCTTGCATTTCAGTTGCATTTTTACCTTTCTTGAAATAATAAAGCACAATATACCAAAAATGTGTATTTTCTTCCACTTTCAATATTAAAATAGCTGCACAAAAATTCACCGATTTTGATAAGTATTTTTTAAATGCATGTTGATATGCCAGCTGTCACAATACAGTCTAACAACATTGTTTTGAATGACAAAGAGCTAAGTACTAGAGCCTTCATATGAAAAAAACGTAATGGACTTTTTGCCGAACCCAATCAACACTTGGTTTTAAAGCTGGTTGGGCCCTCAGTGAATCTTGCTCAAAGTAAAGGGGACTTGTGCTGGAAAAGGGACACAGGTGTGATGAATGAACCATCTCAGAGACCAGGGACTGGTTAGTGGGGCAGGGCTGAAAGCCTCGCACTCGCTGCTTTATAGTCAGAATGCACTATGGAGGCTGCAGGGAGGGGGGAAAGGCCAGATCTCGGGAAGGAAAGGGCTCCCAGTTTCCGGTGATTGCTGAGCCCAGTCACTTCCCTCACCAGACTCACAGCCCTGTGGATGAGCCCTCCAGGTGGTCAAGGGCAGGCAGGAGATGGGGCAGCGAGGGGAGGATATGTTCTTGGGGTACAGAATCTTTGACCCCAGGGTCCAAAGGCCCTGGGCCAACCACTAGAAAGCTGTGCATGCCTACAGCCCGCGCCCCCTTGTAATCACAGTGGTAACTGTCGCCAATATGGACTGCCACTTCAGGTTCTACATGAGCAAGCCGCAAGGCCTCACGGAAAATGTGGGGGTCCGGCTTCTGCCAGCCAGTAGCCCCGGAGGTCAGCACAAAGTCGAAATATTCCCGCAGACTAAGACCCACCAAGATGCCCTCTAGTCGTTGGTCAAAGTTGGAGACCACTGCCAGCCTCAGACCTCGTTTTCGGCATTTCCTCAGCGTGGCCTCAGCTCCCTCCAGCACCTTCCAGGAGCAGGGGCTGCTTAAGTCCTTGTACAGCTGGTCAGCAACGGGGGCCACAGCCTGGGCATCCCGAACACCTGCTTGGTGGAAGGTCTGCAGGACCACATCCTGCCACCACTGGCGGGAGGTGAGGCCGTGGCTCAGGCCATAGTTGGGGAAGCGGTGGCTGTGAGCCTTGAACACCTGCCTGAAGGCTTGTTCCAGGGCTGTGGCCTCTACCTCCAGCCCATGGGCCTGGGCCCTGGAGGCATACTCCTCCCCTACAGAACGGTGCAGCCTGAGCAGTGTGTCCTTCACGTCCCACGTCAACAGTCGTATTTGTCGCCAGTGAGCCATGGGTCTGCAGGAAGGGGCCAAGTCCACCCCAGGTCTGCCTTAGGTTCCAAGGGCCAAGAGGAAACCGAGCTGGACAAGACACACCTCCACAATCCAACAGTTGTCTCTTTCCAGGCCTTGAGGGCCAGAATTGCTGGCCCTTGGATAATGTCTTCACAGCAGAAGATCCTGGAATGAGATGCCAGTAAAGTGGAAGTTCAGGTTTTAGAGTCATACAGACTGGGTTCAAATTCTAGCACTGCCCACTCACTGTGGGACCCTGGGAGTGTCTCTCTGAAACACTGTCTCCTCAGGCATAAGAGCACAAGGACCCAACCTCACAAAATTGTTGGACTAACTGTGTTTATCTGGTTACTGCACAACAAATTTCTAGGCACAGGGAAGAGGGCAGGGTTTCAGCCCTCATGGCATTTATAGGCATTAAATAATAGGGGATACAGACGTTAGACAACAAATGACAAGAACACTTAAGTTTAACGAATTCAGCCTGAGCCATGAGGTTATAAATCCAAGGACCTCATTAGCCTTTGTCAGAGAACCTCCTATGCATGTGAACTCTCGGTGGGGACCTGAAGAATGAATGACTGTGCAGGAAAGAGGCGATTCAGTGTGCCTGGCACTGGAAACAGCAAGTGAAAAGGTCCTGAGGCAGGGCAAGGAGTCTGGTGCTTGAGGTAGATAAGAGTCAGCTCAGGCAAGGCTTTGTAGGTCAAGGTACAGAAACAATTATGATTCCTATTGTTACCAATGCTAAAGGCAGAAGGGTCCTTGCAAACCATCTGACCAACTCCTGGCTGTTCAGCAGGGAAGGCTTGAGCCAGAGAGGGACAGATACTCACCTAAGATCTCATTGAGTCAGCAGCATAACCAGGACTAGACTCTCTAGCCAGCATTCCCTCCCACCGCTTAGACATATTTGAATTAAAAAAAAAAAATTCTCGAAAATTAGGATTTAGTTCCAGTCAAGATGGCAGCATAAGCAGACATGGCTCCCCTCTTTGCACAACCACATCAAAATTACAACTAAAATATAGAACCACCATCACTCAGAACTGTCAGAAATTCAGTTGAATGGAGGTCTGACAACTACAGAATTAAAGAAACCATATCCATCCAGATTGGTAGGAGGGGCACAAACGCAGAACGGGCTGGTCCCTCACTCATGTGTGGTGGATAAAAATTTGGGAGGGATATCTTAGGGAGCAAGGAGTCCCAGCCCCACACCAGGCCCCCCTGCCCAGGGTTCCAGTGCCAGGAAGATAAGACCTCACAACTTCTGGCTGCAAAAATCAGCGGGGATTGAATCAGTGGAAGATACATCTGGGTCCCAAGCAGTTCCTCTTAAAAGAACCACAACGGACTCACCTACTCAGACTCATTCACTCTGAGTTCCGGCACTGGGATAGAAGCTCGAAAGGCACCAGTGGTGTACAGGGAGACACTGAAGTGTCTGGCATCAAGGCAAGCAGAGGCCATTGTCCCTTTTCTAAACCCTCCCCCAAAAGAGTCAGCAAGCTGGTGCCATATCTGAGATTCCATCAACCTGGCAAACACTCTTTGACCGTCTTGGAAATCCCTAGAGATTCCACCCCTCCAAATTTACGAGCCCACCCAAACTGTTTTTCCAAATGAATGGCTGGCCTTGACTCAAGCTTCACAACTTCCTAAATCCTATCAAACAAACAACAGCTGGCCTCAGTGAGCCCCTGGCACAGCACTAGCAGCAGCCTGCATAGATTCACAGCTTGGCTTGGGAATCTCCAGGCCCAGAACAAGTAGCAGCCATCTCAAATTGCTCTATAGCTCATGTAGGGTGCCTTGGACAAAACACAGGTGGGGGTTGACTTTGGCCTGCACCATCTGGGAAACCCCAAGGCCAGCATACTCAGTGGACAGCTACAGACCAGGCTGGAGTACCACCACCACCGCGCCCCTGCACAGCTGATCCTACATGGAGGGTGAAGGTTCGTGGTCAGTTGTCACAGCCAATCCTTGCAGCTGACTGGCCTGCGTAAACCCCTTCCATTGATCTGCCAACAGCAACCAAGGCTCAACTACAAGAGGAGGGGATACTCAGCCCACACAGAGGCCGCACCTCAAGTACCCAGTTCGGGTGAAATGGGAGGCTGTGCCACTGGACCCTAAAGAAAACACACCACATTAGGCCACACTAACAAGACACCGAGTCAAAGCAGCACTACCTTATACATAGAAACAAACACAGGGAGGCTGCCAAAATGAGGAGACAAAGAAACATGGCCCAAAGGAAAGAACAGATCAAAACTCCAGAAAAAGGGCTAAATGTAAAGATAAGCAGTCTATCAGGTGCAGAGTTCAAAACACTGGTTATAAGGATGCTCAAGGAACTTAGGACCTCAACAGCATAAAAAGGACCCAGTCAGAAATGAAGGATACACTAATTGAAATAAAGACAATTTACAGGGAAACAACAGTAGAGTAGATGAAGCTGAGAATCAAATCAATGATATGGAACATATGGAAGCAAAAAACAACCAATCGGAGCAAGAAGAAAAAAGAATCCAAAAGAAATGAGGACAGTATAAGCAGCCTCTGGGGCAATTTCAAGAGATTCAACACTCGCAGCATAGGGGTGGCAAAAGAAGAGAAAGAGCAAGAAATTGGAAATCTACTTGAAAAAATAGTGAAAAAAAAGAAAAAAAGAAAAAATAGTGAAAGAAAACTCCCCTAATTTGATGAAGGACATAGACATGCAAGTCCAGGAAGCACAGAGAGTCCAAACAAGATGGATGCAAAGAGGCCCACTCCAAGGCTCACCATAAGTAAAATGCCAAAGGTTAAAGATAGAGAATCTTAAAAGCAGCAAGAGAAGATAGTTACTTACAAGGGAGTTCCCATAAGACTGTTAGCTGCTTTCTCAAAAGAAACTTTGCAGGCTAGAAGGGATTGGCAAGAAATATTCAAAATCATGAAATGCAGGGACCTACAGCCAAGATTGCTCTACCCAATGAAGATATCACTTAGAATCGGAGGGCAGATAAAGAGCTTCCCAGACAAGAAAAAACTAAAGGAGGTCATTGTCACCAAACCATTATTATATGAAATGTTAAAGAAAAGGACTTATTTAAGAAAAAGAACAACACTATGAACAATAAAATGGCAAAAAGCCCCAAAACTTATCTACCAATAATTGAATCTAAAAAACAAACTAAGCAAACAAGATGAACAGAGACAGAATCCTGGACACGGAGAGTGTTTTGATGGTTGCCAGATGGGAAAGGGGTGTGGGGGAGTGAATGAGGAGGTGAGGGGATTAGGAACTACAAATATGTAGTTGCAGAATAGCCATAAGGATGTAAAGTACAGTGTAGGAAGTGAAGAAGCCAAAGAACTTACACGCATGACCCATGGCCATGAAAAATGATGGGGGAAATTACACGAGGGAGTCGGGAGTTTGGGGGGGGCAAAAGGGGAAAAATCAGGACAACTGTAATAGCCATAATCATAAAATATCCTTTAAAAAATACAATTAGAATTTACTGGGAATCTTCAGAATTAAAAAACAATCTGTTTTTGGCAAACCTATACCGCATAGGACAATGAGCAGAACAGAGCAGCCTGGTACTACCTGTCTCTAAGCCTCTCTGCGCCCCACCTTCACCTTTAATGGAGGTAGTAACATCTGTCTGGGTGGACAGCAGTGAAAGGATTAGTGCTTCAACGCAAAGGAAACAAAATCTTCCGCTTGCTGTCCCCCGGCTAGATGCAGCTTTCACCCCCAGAGTTGATTCAAGTTTCCAGCTGAAACCTGAGGGTCCAGAAGTCAGGGTGCAGCCACGTTTTCAGGAGAAAGGACGGGGCTCGTGAATCCGGGACATTACTTAGAGTAAGCTGGTCAACGAAATGAATCAAAGTCTGTTTGGAACTTAGAAGAGACCCATTGAAAGACCCCTATGACTTTGCGGGTGGGGAGATGGAGGCCCAGTGAGGGGCGGAACTCTCCCAAAGTCAGGTAAGGAGCCACTGGCAAGGCTCAGATGAGCCCAAAAGGCTCTGGCTCCCGACCCGCAGGTTTTTCTATTTCTGGAAGCCGGAGGTAGGGGGACAGGTCTCACCCTCCCTCCCCCTCTCTAGGGCTCAGTGGCCGCGAAGTCCAGGTATGCCTGCCGTTAGAGCAGAACCTCTACGGCTGCCGTCTGCGGCGTGACCTGGGGTGGGACGGTCCTTTCTCCACTCCAGCGCGCTCCGACCAGTGGGAGCGCGCCCCAGGGGCCCTGGGCTCACCTGCCTCGTACGGGAGCAGCTCCAGAAGGAATCCGCAGCCGGGAACCGGCTGGGGAGAGGGACGCAGAAACTCTGCCTGGCGCCGGGAACTTGGCTCCTCGGCTCCAGCCGCCTGGCAGCTCCGCCCCTCCTCCTGCCCCCCTCCGGCTCCGCCCCCTCCTTGCCTCCTTCCTGCCTCCTTCCTGCCTCCCTTCCGCCGCACCCTCTCTGCGCACCCTCTCTGCGCGCTGTCCAAACCTTCACCTTCACCTCCCTCCACCCGGCGCCCTCTGTCACCCGCTCTTACTGTGCTCCTAGGTCCCCTCTCCGATCCCCATCTCGCACCCTTCCGCCGCACCCCCTTCTCACTGTCACCTAGCACCCTCTCCGCCCCTGTGCACGCCCTTCCTCCCGTCGTCTCCTTTACTCCTTTCTGCGTTCTCACCGCGTCCCTTTTCCCTCCCTAGGCCCCTCCGCCTCCCTTGGGTGCGGACGCTTTGGGGAGGGGCCCTGGCTGACTTGGGAGGAGGGAGATTTTTAAAAGATTTTATTTATTTATTTCTAGAGAGAGGGGAAGGGAGAAAGAAAGGGAGAGAAACATATGATAGGTTGCTTCTCCCACACGCCCCAACCAGGGACCTAGGCATGTGCCCTGACCTGGAATCAACTGGCGACCTTTCACTTTGTAGGACGACCCTCAACCAACTGAGCCACACCAGTCAGGGCTGAAGAGAGGATCTGGGTCCCCGCAAGCCTTGCTGAGTGCCATGTGGACTTGGCCAAAGCCATACTCCTCTTTGGTTTGAGTCCTCATGCAGCACCTGGAGGGAGCTGCTTTTAGCTGGAAACTTGTCTAACTCAAAACGATTTGCTGAGGATAGAGTCCTTTGCAGTAGCATAGCTGCTTCTTTTTTTTTTTAATGAAAGAAAAACACACTATTCATGCTCGTTTCAAAAATGTTTAAAAATACAAAATGTACAAAGTAAAAAGTGGAAAGCCCAACCTCATTCACTAAGTACTCATTGAGCTTCTGCTCTCTGTCTGACCCTGTCCTTCACTGAGGATATAGTGGGAAGCAAGACAGAGTTCCTGTCTTTACAGATCATGGGTGGGGGCGGATAAAAATCAAGTAAATAAGATTTCAGATAACCACAAGTGCTCTGGAGGCACTGAAAGCAACGATATGAAGAATAGTGAAGGGGGATGGGGGAGCGGAGGCAATCTTTGAAGGAGACGGTTGGGGAGGAGTGAAGACCTGAATGGCAGCCAGGTGAAGATTAAAGGACAGGTAAGGAACCAGCAAGTACCAAAGTACTGGGGCCCCAACATGCTTGCTGAGCAAGGGAAGTGGCCTTGGGGGTGGGGAGGAAAAGGAGGGCCTCCTTCCTCCCCACTCATTCCCCAGGGGTTGCTGCAGTGGCAGTTTTGGTTATTATGCTATCAGACGTTTTTCTAGGAGCATACACATAATGCATACAATTTTCTTACTTTCTCCCCTCCACCCCACTCCTTTTCTCTTCTTTTCCTTTTCCCTCCTTTCCCTTTCTTTCGTTTCTTTTTTCTTTTCCTTTTGTTTTCTTTCTTCCCCTTTCTCTCTCTCTCTCTCTCTCTCTCTCTCTCTCTCTCTCTTTCTTTCACAAAACTTTCTCCTGTTTTCCAAGGCTGGTCTGTTGTTCTGTTGTTCACTTCATTCAGAACGGCCTCACCGTCCCTGGGCTCAGGCCTGGGAAGGGGTCCAAAGTGCAGACTCGCGGACCTTGGGGCCCAAGGGAGAGCCTGATTCCAGGGGCTCAGCAGCAAAACTCCTGCATCATAAGCATGATTCCAGAAGGGGGAGTGGGAAGGGTGATGGGATTTCCCAGAATCCAACAATGTCTGAGACTGTACACTTTTCAGTATCACCTGAAACCCAATCCCTCAGGGTTTTTTTTAAATCCGCACCCAAGTCACCCAAGGATATGTTCATTGATGAGAGAGAGAGAGAGAGACAGAGAGAGAGACATGTTGATCAGCTGCCTCCCACATACGTGACCTCACCAGGGATCAAACCGGCAACCTTTGGGTGCACGGGGTGATGCTCCAACCAATGGAGCTGCCAGGCTAGGACCCAGGCGCTTAGGTTCTGCTCCCAGCTCTGTCACCTGACTCTCTGTGAGCCCTCCATTAAATTCTTTTCCTCTCTGGGCCTCAACCTCACAATATGCAAAATGGAGGGACAGGGCAAAATAACTTCCAACTGAAATTCAAGTTAGTTTAAACGTTCATTTCCAAGATAATTAACTGTGTCCCTGGAACCTGTCTCTCCATATATAAACAGCATGTCTCCATCAGGATCAAATGAGAGCACATGGAAAAGCTCTTTGAGAAGTAGGTGGTTCTCTTCTGTTGAGATAATTGAGTCACCTGAGCCATTAAGGGTTTCGTTCGGTTACTTGCAACTCAGGGCACCCATTACATAAGGGAGGCATTTCCATTGCAATCCATGTGAATGTGCCCCTTGGAACTGTGGCCCTAAAATCTTGTTTATTTTACTGCCCTTTAGGCTCTGCCTTTCTTTTGAGTTAACTTTTTCAGCAGAGAAAAAGGAGACTTGTGTGTCACCGTAAAGCCCATGACAGGGCCACATTACTCTGAAACAAGCTTCTGACTTGCCTGTTTAAATAAAATTTGCCCTGACTGGTGTGGCTCAGTAAGCTGGGCATCACCCCGCAAACCTAAAGGTCGCCAGTTGGATTTCTGGTCAGGGCACATACCTGGGTTGTGGGCCAGGTCCCTGTCTGGGGGCATGTGAGAGGCCATGGATCGATGTTTCTCACATCGGTTCCTCTCCCTCTCTTTCTGCCTCCCTTCTCCTCTCTCTAAAAGATGAATTAATTTAAAAAAATATTAAAACAACAAAAGCAAAAATGAGTACACTTAGTAGGTGTCGTGTCCTCACTAAGTCCTCAGAGGTTTCAGAGCGTGATCTGTCCTGTGAGCCCTGGCCTGGTGATGGCTCCTGGAGATACCTGTTATGTCACTACACTAGATGCTGGTTATTTCTTTTTGAGAAAACAAGTACAGGAAGGCTCTTGAGATTCTCACACCAAAACTGCTGCACTAAGTAAACCCAGGCTGGGTGCCCCAGACATGTCTTTTTACTTTTAAATTTTCATCCACATATTTTTTAAAGTTAACTTTTATTAGAAATATATAATGCATATGGAAACGTGTAAAGAAGTGTAAATGTCCTCAGACTTTTCCATATTGGACATACTTGTGTAACCAGCACCCAAACCAAGAAAAAGAACATTTCTAGAACTCTGGTGCCCTTGTCTTCTCCTTGTTGCTTACCCCTCCGCCCCCAAAGGCTAACCCCTATCCTCTTTTTTAATTTATTGGCTTTGAGAGAGATTGATTGATTTGTTGTTACATTTAGTTATACATGCTTTGGTTGATTCTTGTATGTGCCGCTGACCAGGGATGGAACCCACAACCCTGGTGTATCAAGATGAGACTAAACCACTGAGCTACCCAGCTAGAGCTATCCTGACTTTTAATTGCATATTTACTTGTTTTTGATCTGTATAAAAATGGAATAATACAACAGGCAGTCTTGTCTTCGTTGCTCAAAATTTTATTTATAAGTTTCATTCATTCATGTTGCTGTGTGTAGGCTTCATTGTCATACCTGTAACATTCCATTATATGAATGTACTACATTTTACTGTTGATGACATTTGGCTTATCTCCAGTTTCTGGTTACTGCAATATTAGAAAATGTTACTATGAACATTCTCAAATATGTCTTTTAGTGAATACATGTACACGTTTCTGTTGGGTAAATCCCTAGATGTGAAATCACTAGATAACAAGGATATGTCCAGCTTTGGAAGATGGTGCCAGTTTTCTGAAGTGGTTGTACCAGAAATATCTGAGAGTTCCAATTGCTCCACATTCTCAACAATTTTAGGCATTCTGACAGATGTATGGTGCTATCTCATTGTGGTTTTAATTTGAATTTCTCTGTTAACTAATGAAGATAACACCTTTTCATATATGTATTGGCCAAGTTTTCATTTATTTACACAAATCCTTGGTAGATATATATCATACATGATATAAAGTTGCAGCTAAGATAATACATAAAAAGTCAAAGTTCCTCTAAAATCAATCACCCCACCCCTTTACAATTCCTTCTCTAGTTTTAGGCACTGGACTTGCAGTTAGGAGACCTGAATCCCAGCATCAGTCTGTTGCTGGCTTGTGTGCATTTCAGCAAGTCCCTTCTCTGGGTCTGTCTCCCATTTCTAAAGACCTCTTTACTTGGATATTCTGACCACTGTTTCTGTGATTCTCCATGTGATGGGGATGGTCATCTGCCCCAATGTCCATTCTCTTCTTCCTCCTTAGCAATTGAACCCCTGAGTTTTAGCTGAGTGCCTGGCTGCCCCACTGGACTCTTATTTTCCAGCCTAGCGTGTACTAGTAGATGTGGCCACATGACTAAGTTCAGACAAGGGCATGTGCACAGAAGTGATGTGTGCAACTTTTGGGTTGTGCCCTCCATGGGCCCTTCTCTTCTTCCTGACAGCTGAAGAGGACCTGTTGGTGGGAACTGGACCTGCCATCTTTGATCATGAGGTGGGAGGGGAGATGTGTCGATGGTGACTGATAAGGCAGGAGCCAAGACCTTCGGCTGACACAGCTCTGGACTGCTCAGAAATCTTCCATCTTAAGCTATTATTATTTTGGCTTTTATTATATCCACTGAACTTAATTGGGGAATGACTTTAAATTGGGTGTCAGGAGAGGTTGTCTTGAGGAAGTGCCAGGTAAGCCAAAATTTTAACAAGGAGACAGCCATCCAGCTTTTGGGGAGATGTGTTTCTGGGCAAAGGGGACCACGTGCACAAAAGCTCTGAGACTTCACCAGCCTCCTTGTAAGGAGGGAGACCTTGCATCACATCTCCCATCTCCTTGTTTAGTGACTAAGCCAAGAGGCCATCCTTTGGACCCGCGCAGGGCCAATCAAACCTCCAGAGATTTGCTACGTGAATCACAGGGCTGAAAATATCTTTCTCTGGAATTCTAAGTCTAAAGGACCATCTAAGAATCATGTTACTGTCAAGTGGCAAAAACCACCTTAGAATAAAGCCAAGCTGAGGCAATCAGAGCTAGGAAGGAACAGAAGTCTCGGTGCAAGCCTCTGACCCTAGATTTAGCCACACCTGACTTATTACAATCCATTTATAAAAACCAATCATTTCCATTTTTGCTACTGCATTTAGTTCCTGTCACTTGTAACCAAGAGTACCCAAAACAGGATAGACTATGGGGTGCTGCAAGTCACAGGTCCTAGCCGTGGAATTGGCCAAGTCCACATGGGGTATGGAGCAGCCAGGATTCCTTTTTTTTTTTTAATTGAATATTGGTAATAAATTGGCTGGTTAACATGCTCTTGCTTTTTGGGACCCTCAACCATATGACCACTGAGGTTGTAGTTTTAGGGATCTTGGTAAAGCAAAAAGTGAGGATGGTTGGCTATTTGTTGTGACCTGCGAAGGTCCTATCAGAAACAAGCAAGCTCTGGTTCAAGCTGGTGCATCTGAGCGAGGAATAGGAAAATGTCTTGTGAAGAGGCCCCTGCATGCTCACGAATCTGCTGTGACGCCTGGAAGCCCGAGGATAATATGCAATGCTAATTGTGAAAGCCGAGTTCTCTGCTCAAGGATAAAATTACTACTAGCAAGAGCAGGGTACACACCAGGAGATGGGACTGTGGAGGAACCAGATTCCCCCATGACCACCCAAACTTCTCTGCCTGCCTGCCTGGCCATTACTGCCTTTGCAGACAGAACATAGGGTGGCTGGAGGGGATACAAGGCTGGCACCCCAGGCGACAAGTCCTGACTCAGGAGAGCACCACTCACATAGACCATGATTGCAGGCAACTTAGACCCTTGTTCTGCCCCACTACTGGAGCTAGTAAAGGCATCATGTTAGACCAGTAATTTTACTACCATTTACTGGGGGGCAGTACGTTGTAGTGGTTAAGTGTAAGAGCCTTGGAATTTGGCTATATGGGTTAAAATCCCAGCTTTCCTGTTATTGGTGAACCTGTTTTGGTTCTAGGCTCAGTTCTGCCACAAACTTTTGAGTGGCCTAGAGGGTGAGGCATAGAAACTCCCTAGCTTTCTTATTCAGACCCCAGCAAAAATTAGGATTTCCCCTCTACCCTGACCCTCTTCCCAGCTTCCCCTCCTCTGCATATGGCCAAGGAGCTCGAGCCAAGTTCATCCTTGGTATCTACCTACCTCCGAAGTCCATTCCCCTCCCCATTCGTCACTACTCCCGTGCGGACCACAAAGTCTGTCATTTGCACTTTGCTTCAGTGCTTTCAGAAAATGCCAATTAGAGAGTCGTCCCCCTACTTAAATGGTTGCGACTGGCTTTCCTTCCTCTTGGAATAACTTGAAAAGGCTGACATGGCCTTTGAGGTCTCTTCACTCAGTTCAGGCCACCTGTTTCTCCATCCTTCGCTGTGCTTCAGCCACCCCAGCCTCGTTTTCTAGCTCTTTCTAGCCCCAGGATTCCCTCTGCCTGGGAATGCTCTTCTCCAAACACATTTTAGCTTGGTTGTTCACCCTTCAGGTCTAGCTTAAATATCAATCCTTCAGGGAGGCATTTTCTGACCTTTCAAACCAGGTCATGTCCTGGTGACGGCCTTCATAGCACCTCTCACTCTGTCACCGGTGACACACATGCCTCCCGGTTTTCAGGAAGACTCACTCCACTTACTGCTGCTCCCTGTGTGTGTGATGGGGGGAAGGGGGTCTGGATACAGAGTTGTTTGCTTCCTGTGGACCCTCTGTTCCTCAAGGGCAGTCTCTCTACTGTCTTCTGTGCCTAGAATAGAGCCAGGCCCTGTGTTTAACTGGCAATGATGAGTCTGGAATGGTCTTGAAGAATCTTCCTTTTCACACTAATCATTTTAACTAGAAACGAGCTCAGGGGCCAGGAGACAGGAAGCCAAGAAGCTAAGATGGTCAAAGGTTCTAGTCTGGCCGAAGGCCCAAGGCGTTGAGCCAATAGTGGCTCATCCCCTGTGAGCTTAGGTGCCTAGGTGGTCGTCCGGCTCAGGTTCCCTGGGAGGCCCAGCTCTGTGACTCTCCCAGCACTGATTTTGGCTGGCCACTTCCCTGCAGGCTGAAACTACGTCTTCATTTAAGTCGGCCACAGCTCTGGAGAAGACTACCAAGAGTCGGAGACTGGTCTGACTGCAAAAGCTGCCGGAGGTTTATAATTCTAGATTTTAAAATGGGTTGTATAACTTTATAGTCCAAATTGAACTTACTATGGGCCCAGAGTTGGGAAACCCTGTCACTTTGCAGATAGTGGGGTGGACTTGTGAACAGGTCCCTCCTTAGCTGTGCCTGAACTTTTGCCAGGGGGGAACTTCTATGTCAAGTCTCAGGAGAAAACTGAAACCACTCATCCAGTTGCTCAAGCCAGAAACCCATAGAGGCATCCTAATTTCCTCCCGGTGCCTTACCGCTGACCAACCGCCATCCCCCCACCCCTTCCAATTTAAAGCACTGGCAAAACCTGCTAATTCTTTCTCTAAAATGTCTCCTGAATACATGTTTCCTCCTATCTCCAGAGCCACCACCATGGTCCAGGTCACCACCATCGCTCCCTGGGGTCTGCCGTAGCCTTGTAATCAGGCTTTTTCTTGTACTCTTCCATTTTCCCCATAGCAGCAAAACGGGCGACACTGGACCGTGCATAACTGGCTAAGATCCATCAGCTGTCTTTGTACCAGATGGAAGATACAATCCAAGCTTCCTAAAAGGTGCGGGATCTCCCTTTCTAACCTCCAGCCCTGTCACCCATCCTACCCTGCCCCCAGCCCCCAGCAGTGCTGCCAAGGTCCTCTCACTGCAGGATCTTTGCACACTCGGTGTCATCCTCACGGCTTCTGGTGGCGTAAGGGTCCTTCCTTGTCTTTGACCTCGGCGGGGTGGGGGATCCCCCCAACCTCCCCATTTGTCATTTCCCGCCTCAGACCCTTTATTTGCTTCAAAGCACTGATTAGAGTTTGTGACTGCTTTGTCCGTCTCTCCTATTTTCCTCGTATAGCTTCCACACAGAGAGTCAAGCTGAAGTCTGTCTGGCTAGATCCTCAGTGCCAGCACTGTGCCTGAGCACAGAGCACATGTTCTCAAAAAAAAAAAAAAAAAATCTTCCTTTAATAAAAAGCCTTTTTGATGGTACCATCTCCAATAGTCAGGAACTCTCTCTTTGCTTCTGCATTTTAATCCTCAGGCAATGTTTCAGCTTGTTAAAATCATTCTTTTCTGCGTTTATGGCTCAGGGTGGAGCAGAAGATCTGAGGCAGCCCGGCAGCCACTGCCCTGGGGGAATCGCAGCAAAACTCAACTCTGAACCTGGGAAGGCCAGTCTAAGCCTCAGTCCCTGTAGCCAGCGATGCTGCCAGAGGCCTTGGGTTCTCCAGAGCTCCTGAGGCTTCTGAGGACCAATGATCCAACTGCCTTCCTCCTCCCCTAATGTTCCAAGCCCCTCTCCCAGGCACCACACACCTGAGCCTGTGACTCCTGAGAGCTTTCTAACTAAAGCCACACTAGAGGAAGGAGCTAGAGCAGCAGAGGCGGCCTCAGAGGTGACCCTGGGGAGGGCGGAGGAGCTCGGGGGAGCCCATGGAGATGTGGCTGCGAGCGGTGAGATGTGGCATGCTGCCAGAAACCACCTGGAGCTCGTGGGCACTTGCCAGCAAGGGAGCAGGAAGAGGGCACAGGGCACAGTTCTAAATGCAGCATTTACTTTGGCTTTCACTTCTCCAAGGCCCCGGGACCTTGCAAAGTCCTAGTTCTCGGGTCTTGCACACTCTCTCCATCATTCCTTCAGCCACTGCAATAGCTGAGGTGTGTAGTAGGTGATGATGATGTCAGCACCTTTGTGGGAGAGAAAGAGAGAGCGGGGGAGGGCTGACCATCAGCTGCCTCTTCTGCTGTGGAACAACTTTGACGCTGACCGTCTGGGAGATGAGGGCCAGCGGAGAAGGCGGCTGCTATGGAGAGGCACAGTCAGTGGGTGACACAACATGAGACTGAGCCCAGTTCCGGTCAATTCTAGCTCTGAATGTTGTGCGACTGTGGACCAGCCGTTTTCTCTTTCTGGGCCTCAGTTTGCCAAAGTATAAAACACACAGTGGGGAAACAGATCAGCTGTAAGTTCCCTTCCCCCACTGTGTGCCATATCAACAAAACCAGCTCTCATTTTTGGAGCAATAAGCATGTGCCAATTACACATATCATCTCATTTAATCCACATGCGAGCCATGCACCAGGTATCTTATCTCCATTATAGACAGGGCACTGAGGTTCAGAGAAGGGGCTAGGCCAAGGTCTCACAAGCAAAATATAACTGTTCCATGTTCTGTTCTAGTTACATGTGTCTTCCACTCAGCCTGTGTCTGTTAGATCACTGGTATTTCTAGGTTGTTTCATGACTTCACCTCCCTCTCTGGGCAAAGTGCCAATCAGTCCCTGTGGCACAAGCCAAAAACCCCACCCCAACCTGCTTACCTGCTCTGCGGAAGGCGGTCATGGCTTCCAGTACAGCAGCCTTGAGATCAAATGCCCCAGCCTGGGCTCCGTGCCACAACATCGCAAACTCCCCGGACACGTGGTACACGGCGAGAGGGAGCTCAGGGTGCTGCAGGGAAGCAGCAGGAGGCAGAAGTGGATGGCGGGTGTGCCCCTGGGAGTGTCCCTTGTTCCCTGCCCAACTTTGACCATCTTGAACCCCATGTCCTAAGTAACGGCTGCTGGCAGCCTGGCCTATTTTTAAACCATCAAAGCAGAGCTGTTCAAAGACTTCTGCCCACTGGTGGTTCCTGGGTAGGGGCAGGGAGGGGCAGGGAGGGGCGGGGGGGGGCGGGTTCCTATACAGGTGCAGGTTGTGTCCAGCTCTGAGATCCTGCAGTCCTTCAGTCGAAGGTTGCAAAACCCGTGGACACATTCTCTCACCTCCCTGAGCCCCCCTTGTCTCTGCTCGGTGCTCACCTTGTCCTTCACCTCCCGCACAATGTCCAGGTAGGGCATTCCTGGCTTCACCATGATCATGTCGGCTCCTTCCCGCACATCCCGGTCCTAACGGATGAGGTATGGTATGGGCAGTGCCCGGGAGGTGACTGAGGAGGGGGACAGGCTGGCTGGGGCTTAAGCTCTGGTCACTCACCACTGCTCGGAGGGCCAGGCCTCGTGCTCCAGGGGGCAGCTGGTAGCAGCGGCGGTCCCCAAAAGCTGGGCTTGATTGAGCTGCATCCCTGTGAAACAGAGGCATCAGGGTGGGCTCCAGCTTTGGGCTAACGGGTCAGGGAATTAACAGCAGACCCCCGCTAGTCCCCACTCACCGGAAAGGTCCATAGAAACAGGAAGCAAATTTGGCACTATAGCTCATCACTGATACCTGTGGGGAGAAAATGGGGGTTGAGGCTCAGAAAGGACCCAGGCTGGTAAGTACAGCACCCGTGTTCTAGTCCTGCCGGAGCTCTGGGCCTTGGTTTTCCCATCTCAAGGGCAGAGGTTGAGACAGATCCCGAAGGCCTTGTCTTGTGCTGCCTTCAGTTCTGTGATGCTTGGCAGATGTGGGGGCAGGGCTGGTCCAGCCGCAGGCTCTCTCCTCACCTCTCTGCCCACACCCCCTGCCCCTACCTTGTTGCCAAGTCCATGTGCCATCAGGGCCTCCTTGATGGCTTCTACGCGTCCATCCATCATGTCCGACGGGGCTACCACCTGACATCCTGAGGGACACAGGGCAGACCTCAGAACTCTGGAACCTTCCTGTCTATTCTGTCACCTCCCTGGCCCTGAAGTCCTCATCCCTGCTGGTGACTCACTCACCTGCCTTGGCATAGGCCAGAGCCACCTCTGCCAGCCGCTGGCGGCTCTCCTCGGCCTGGAAAATCCCATTCTTGCTCAGAAGCCCTGCAGGTCAGACAGCCGGGTTTGAGGGAGCCTCCTGGACCCCGGCCTACCCTACTGTGGGGGGAAGTGGGCAGTGGGAGTGCAGCTGGCAGCCGGGCTGGGCAGGGGACTCACCACAGTGGCCATGGGAGGTGTAGGGGCACAGACATACGTCGCAGGCCACCAGGAGGCTGGGGAAGGTCTTGCGCAACAGACGGATCGCCTCGACAGCCGGGGAGTCCTCGGAGTCGGCTGCAGAGCCCCGCTCATCCTAGTGGCAGGGAAGGACAAAGCGGTGTGCCTGTCACATGAAAGCTTCAAGAGGCACAACGGCCCCCACAGAGTGTAGCCGTGTCCCTCTCCTTGTTATCACCACAGAGCCCCTGGACAAGGAGGCACAGTGAGGACTGTCCCCATGTTGCAGAGGAGACTTGACTCGCCCAGTCTGTGTGTCATACCTCTGCTTAGCTTTCTAACCCTACCTGGGTGCTGTCTTAATAACGGGGGCCATGTCCATTCCCCTGCAGCTCCGGGGCCAGCACAAGGCGGGAATGAAGGTGTGGCCAGTGTGGAACTCAGCTCACTCTCACCCGACCTTCCCTTCGCCTCCCCTCCGACTCCTCTTCTGATTCCTCACCTTGGGAACTCTGCTGGGGACACCAAAGACAAGGACGCAGCGCAGGCCCTCTTCTATCAGGGGCCTCAGCATCTCTTCTAGCCGGTTCACACCATACCTGCATGTGGGTCGCAGGGGAAGGGGCTGAAGCGAGGCAGGTCCTGGGCAACGGCCCTCTCTGCCCCGCCACACTATGCCTCTGCTAAGAGCCTGGGTGCACACGGTACTGGAGGGGCTCAAGCCCCACAGTACAGGGGGCGGGGCGAGGGGCAAAAACGTTCCCACCAAACTGAGGGGAAAGCGGAGGCCCCAAGTGGCAGAGCGGCGGGATTCAGCTGTGGCAGGTCCCTCCGAGGTTCTGTTTTTGATGCCTCTGGTGATGGGTGGCCCATCGCTTTACAAGGCTGCCTTTTCTGTCGTGGGACAACTTTACTGAGTTGAAGCCAGACCCTCTGGATCTTCTACCTCCTGGGTCTGCTTCTGCTCCCTGGCAACTCCACCTATAAATCTCTCCCTCCATCACCGCCCTGCCGCCCCCACCGCGTCTCCTACCTGGCCACTCCTGGAAGGCTGGCGATGGGCTGTACATCATCAGGAACATCCCTGCAAGAGTGGGGGTGGGCTATGGACTGGTAGCTGTGGGGAGGGCCAGGGATGATGGGCTGACTGGGGGGATGGGTGGGGAGCTGGGAAGGAACATGGAAATGGAGATGGTGGGACGGGGATAGGGTCCAGTGTCTGGTTTCCCCTGCCTGGCCAAGCCCAGGGCCTGAAATAATAACAGGAACAACAAGAATAACAGTGACAACAAGAGAAACTATACTAAAAAAATGAGTAATCACAGGAAGCAGTCAAGTGGTTAAGGACATGAACTCTGAAGTCAGAAGGTCCTCACTTGCTATCACAGTCACTGACGGGGTAAAGTTGGCCAAACTGTACCATCCTTTTGAGCCTCAGGCTCCTCATCTGTATCCTGGGTGGATTCACTCATTAGTTTATACAACAAATATTTTTTTAAAGACTTTATTTATTTATTTTTAGGCAGAGAGGGAGGGAGAAAGAAAGAGAGGGAGAGAAACATCAATGTGTGGTTGCCTCTTGCACGCCCCCCTATTGGGAACTTGGCACGCAACCCAGGCACGTGCTCTGACTGGGAATCAAAGTGGCGACTCTTCGGTTCGCAGGTCGGCAGTCAATCCACTGGGCTACACCAGCCAGGGCCCTACATATTTATTGAGCACTTATTATATGCCAGGTACTGTACTGGGCTTTGGCAGTATAACAGTGCATAAAACAGACAAAATCCCTGCCCTCGTGGAGATGACAATCTAGGGGATAGTACCCATACCTTCCTCATATGGATGCTGTCAGGATTGAAAAACAATAGATGTAGATGCTTAGCATAGTACCTGGTACATAGCAAATACTTAATAAATGTCAGCTGTTGCTGTTTTTAATAATCATGACTGCCACCTGTTACATGTACAGCGCGCACTTTACAATCCACAGACTACCTTCTCAGCTTCTGTCTCATTCAAAAGCTCAGGATGGCGGGTAAGGGTTATTCTTATTTTCCAGATGGGAAGATTGAATTCTTTTCAAGGTTTGTTTTGTTCCCAAGACAGCTGTCCTTAACCCAAGAGGCTACTTCCAATACCTTGAACTCTAAGCTGACAGCTCACTTTATCACCCGCAACAGAGGCCTGCTCTGGCCACACCCACACCCACCCACACCCACCCACTCACACCCACCCCCTGCGGTGAGAGACTCGGCTCCTTCTGGGGACTCACGTTACAAAGATGGGGTAGATGAGGTTGGAGACACTGAGGTTGGTGGCGGCTGTCTGCCAGGTCCGAAGCAGTGGGTGGAAGTAGCCGCTGTGCAGAACAGACTGGGGCTTCATGGTGAGCAGCGAGGGCACAGGGCGGCGGCTGGTTGGAAGTGAGGACCCCTGGGATAGCTGCTGGATGCTCAGCTGTGTGGGGGCAAGGGGAGGAGCGTGAGACATGGTCCCTGTCCCCAGGGAGGGGAGAGCCAGGCAGGCTCTCCCGGGTTCCTGCCTCTCCTGCTCTCCGCCCCCATGTTCCCCAAGGAGTGCTTCCCCAACCCCTGTTGGCCTATAAGTAAAGAAATAAAAATAGGCCTAAGGAAATTCCACAGCAATTTGAACCTGATAATATAAAATCTGGGCTAGTATTTATATGGTCTCTCTTTTTCTTCTAAAATAAATTTTTCTAGTAATTCATTTTTATTTTGCGTTAGCAAAGGGTCAATCTTGGCTGGACTGGAAGCTAGTAAGAGAAGCACTCATTTAGCCAACATTTATACTTTGTTTATTCCATGAAAAATGTCCATGTACTTGGCAGAAATTTTAGATAAGCCAAATGAAAAAAATCTCTTGTAATTCTACCTCTAGAGAAAAGCAGTTAACCCCTTAGTGCATGGACTTCTTGTCAGGCAGGACACACATTAAGAGGGTTAAATAGCTCCGTGCCTGACAGACAGTCAGACAGACAGACAGAGACACACCCTGTAGAGTGGCCACGGCTGCCATCTTTTCCAGCCTTAGGGCCTCTGGCTGCCTCACACAAGCCACACTTGGCGTGCTTCTGGCTCTGCTCGCCCTGTTCCTTTTATCTGGAAGGCGTGTGCTCGCTCCACAGCTTCAGCCCCAAATCCTCCCGGGTTCTCCATAAGGCACTTGCTCCTTCCCTCTCCCACTAAAGCTGCTTTTCTTGCCCAGGTCACACTCTCCCTTTTATAACAGGTCTCTGTGGACCTATCTTATCTTGTCCCAACAGACAGAGCTTCTGCAGGGCAGGGTCCACAGTGAGTTCATTTTTTGCCTTCTCCATACACTCTGCCATGCAGTAAATATTTAATTAACTGGAACACGAGACAATTAATGCCTGGGGCATTACCATTTGTTTCCTGAGCACCTACTGTGGGCCAGGCCATGCTGGGTACTTGCACACATGAGTTCTCATCGAGTTGGCACTACAGCCCTAGGAGGTAGGGCTGACTGGGTGCATCTGAGAGAGGAGGAGCCTACCTTGAAAGAACTGTGGGTTCCAGTGTGAGTTTGGAGGCTAGAAGAAGCTTGCTGAAAGAAGATGAGGACTTGAACTTGGTTTGCAGGATGAGTAGGTTCAGCTGGTCAGAAGGAAAGGAAAGAGCATTCCCTCAGGAGTAAAGGTGAGAAAGGAGCGGCGTGAGGGTGGGTTATGGCCTGTTCTCAGGACTTAGGAAGCCACTGAGCCATGTGTATGGAGGGGAGGGGATGAGAGGGGGCCAGGCTGAGTACAGGGAAGGTTTCGGACCAGGGGCCGGGGGAGGGGCCTGGTCAGAGCCTGGCTCTAGGAGGAAAATTCTTACAGGCCGAGCACAGCAGGTTGGAAGCAGAGGAACACAGAGGCTATGGGGTCAGAGGGGCAGAGAAGGGCCAAGAGGCAGACTCTTGAGGTGGCCATTCTGAGCTTGTCTGACCCGAAGGGCAATGGAGACAGGAACAAGGCAGGAAGAGGGTAGTGGGGAGCAGAGCCTGGAGAGGAGCTGGAGAGCTCCGTTTTAGACACTTCCTTTTGGAGGTGTATTGAGACGTTAATGTGAACAAAACTGACTCCATCTTTGTACTCCTACTTTTGTTTTTCTGTGCTGAGAACTCTGACCTAACTAGTCTCAGGCAGCACCAAAGCCTCAAAGTTAATGATTAGCCGTGTCCTGTAAGCTTACCTAATGTAACTGTAGAGATTCCTATCAGTAAATGGTCAGAATGATATAGCAACCGAAATTAATATCGAACTAGGTGTTGGCATTAATTCTAAGCAATTATCCATCACAAGACTTCCAGGAGATACGGTTCCTGGCTCGCTGCATTCTTTGTCCCTTTGTCTTGTCAACTGTTAGCAGTTCAGCTATACTAGAAAGTGTTTTTTGTAGAGCACTGCCTAGCAGTGAAGACTAACCTGCGCAGCCTGCTGGCTCATCTCTTCTGCTATGAGCCAATCTTCCTGTAAGTAAATTACCCTATAATAAACTCTGCTGTATTCAATAAATTTGCCTGCTTCATTTTTCAATCTTAAGACACCTTTACAGATTGGTGTCTGTACAGATTGGTGGTCAATGTACCTCCACTCTACCTTCAGACAAGGCGCCTGGGGAAACAGGCAGTAGCTAAATAGGAAAAAAAACAAACACACTCAACACACAGCCAAGAGCCACCCATCTCTCCTTGTGTGAGTGGGACCTCAGAGCAGGGACTTATCCAAGGTCACACACTCCCGAGGCCTGCAGAGTCCTTTCTACACTGAAGACGCCTTTCTCCCCACAGTCCTCCAGGCCCCGTTTTATCCGATCCTCCTCCCAGGCAAGGTTGGGGTTATCAGGAGCCACACAGGGACCCACCCCACCGCCCCACCCTTGAGCCAGCCACATCAGCTGATGCAGGAGCAAGCCAGGCCCCCCCAAAGTTGTTCCAACCCTCAAATGAGCCATCATTCCCCAACTACAAAGTCCTGAGCACCCATTTTGTGCAAGGTTTTGCTCTCAGGTCTGCCATGGATTCGCCTAGCTCAGAGAACTTAAGTTGCTTGCCCAAGACGACACAGCTAGTCAGTGAGTGAGCCAGCATTTGAATTGGTTCTAGACAATGAGTGCAGGGTTTTATCCAATAGTACTGGTAAGCACTTGATTCAGTAGGCACCTCTCTGCTTCACTATCTTTGCTCTGGTGGCTGGAGAGATAGAAGAAATAAGAGAAAAACATACTGAACATGTGTTATGGGCTGATCTAGTTACTTTACATACACTGTGCACATTATCTCATTTAATTGCAGAGAATCGTTCTAACTTTTAATGATAAGGGAATGGAGGTTCACAGAGGTGAAGGAACTTGCTCAATGTCAGGTTTTGAAGCTGGGTCTGCACATGTCTCTGATTCACCTCTCAGACAGCAACCTTTGTAAACAGGTTCCCCACTTCTAGGATTCAAAGCTGCATTCCACTGGCTTTAACCTTGCTTCTACTTTAGAAGGTGGAGGGAGCAAATGGCTTCTGTTTATCAGAAACAACAAGGCAGGAACGCCTAGGAACTTTGCAGTCCAAATTTCACCCCAAGGAGACTGGAGGTTGGGGGGGTGGGGTAAGGGAGGAGGGAGAGACTGGTGAGGGGGAGGCCTCACTTTAATCTGGTTTTTTCTTATTTTTTATTTTAAGATTCAGAGATTTGACTTGAGAAATGGGTGTCAGTAATAAAAATAATTAAATTGAAAATCACCAATCCTGTTTAACTCTTACATTCTGATGTGGAAAATTGGGTGCAGAGAGGCAACAGAACTTGCCTGACACTGCACAGCGAGTCAGGCATGGAGCTAGGCTTGACTAGGGGACCTCCTGGCTTCTAGTCCAGCACCATTACCTACATCGCAATGGTCATTCTGTTACAACTGGTGCTGAATCAGTATCTGTGGAGGTGAAAAACATCTCTCAGCAACAGAGCCGCATCTCTGTTTGCAGAACCAAAGCTGTGCCTGGACATTGCAAAAAGTCCCTAAAAGATTGGGAGACTTCCATACACTTGGGAGGGTACTTCTCCGAAATCAAGGGAGCCTACAAGCCACAGCTTGAATCCTGTGACACCTCAATGAAGTCAATAGCAAGTCACCATGGGACCCAGTACCATGCTCAGCCACATTAGAACAGCTTAGCTTAGCTGGAAGGCTGGATAGGGTGGTGCAGGAAAGAAACATATTTCAGGGTCAAGGAGCCCCGGGTCTGGCCTGTGCTCTAAATGTGACCCTGAAAGGTTGCTGGCTTTTCAGTTTCTTCACTTTGTAATCTATAAAATGGGATTTAAACTATCAAACTGGCAAAGCTGCAGAGATTAGAGATAGTGAAGAGGTATGTGTCTAGGCACACAGTAAACATGTCGCTATTTTTACATTAGAAGTAGAACTGAGCTGGAACTAGATCTCCTGGCTTGCAGTCATAGCTTTGCCTCAAATCTGTGTGGGCTACAGGGTCTTCCAAGACCGCCCAGGTTGGGCGGGGGGGCGGGAGGTCCCTGCCTCCGAGCAGCTTCTGTGAGGGAGAAATAATCACCACGCAGATGCTACAATAGAGGGATGGACCAGCTGCTGTGGGAGGGACCTGTGTTCTCTGAGAGTCAAGGATGGCTTCGTGGAAGAGGGGCTACTAAAGGACAAGTAGCGCTTCAGACTGACTGTGAAGGTATTCCCTTCCTTAGAAGACAAGTTCTAACCTGGGAGTAAGCTAAGTCAGGCCCTCAGAGCCGCCACCAGGGGGGCCCGAGAAAGAGCTGCAGGGTCTGAACCCCCCATGCTGTGTGCTGCTGAGGATTCCAGAGGCTGTGGTCTTGGCACGAGGGCTGGGGAGCTGCTGCCAGCTCTGGCAGGCTCTGCCACTCGCTGGGGAGGAGGCAGTCAGGAGGGCCAGCTAGGTAGAAGGTGGTCAGGGCTGAAAAATCCGAAGCCCCAGAGGGGCCCAAGGCAGCAGCTGTTAGGCAGTTCTGCAAAGGGACGGATTTGTTTATGTAACTCACATTTCCTGAATATCTACTCTGGGCCGGTCCCAGGGCTACATACAGGAATTAAAAACAAGAATGAGACCTGGGCCTTGACCTAGAGCTTTGAAGAGCCCAGTTTCCTCTGGGCTCAGCTCTTGGGAGCAGTGGGGAGACTCTGCCAGGTTACATCATCGAAATGATGGTGAAACTGGGTTCAAAGAAGGACAGACACAGGCCCAAGATCGTGCAGGGGTCCGTGGCAGTGCTAGGGCTGGAATCCAGGTCTCCAGCAGCCCAGTTTTCAGTGCCCCCCGTTACCCTTTTATACTGTAAGTAGAGATTTCAGAGCTCAAAGCAGAGCTGTGGAGAGCTCTGCGCGGAGGGGGTCGGGCAGAGAAGCAGACCGGTGGCTCTAAACCTGCCTGCAGCTGGCAGCATGATGTTTGTGTGGATTTTGGACTCTGCACACGTGGATTCAAACCTAAGCTGTCACTTTCCAGTTGTGTGACTTCAGCTTCCTCATCTGGTAAATGGGGACTCGAACCGCCCTCAATGGGCTGTTGTAAAGACTGAATGGTCCAATGCATGTAACGTACGTACAAGCTTAGCACAAAACGGCTGTTCTTTCTACCTCCCTCCCTCTTCGGCGATGGCACTTCGCGCTCTGCACTTAGAGAGAGACTACTTCAGCCGTGTCCAAGGGAGTAAACCCCAGAGAGAAGACGCGGAGCCCGGACAGCTGCCCTCAAGGGCTCCGGCCCCGCGGAGACCCCAGCCCGGCTGCAGTACGACAATCTACCTCTAAGAGCCCAAATACCGGCCCCGCAGGACGGATCTCCGGCTGCACTGCCAGCGCTTCAGGCGCACCAGCACAATATGGGTCTGGGGACGCGGGATTCTTGGTGCCACAGCCCCCACCTCCGAGCCCGTCACCTCCCAGAGTCCGGCCCGCCTTACCTACTTGCCAAAGGCTGCGAGTCTCCCGCCACCGCCACTGCTATCACGCACTCCAGCCTCACCAGCACACTTGGGGGCGGAGCTGCTTCCCGGAAGCAGCGCCCCTCCTCACACTCCGCCCCAACACCCCCTAGGGACACTTTGCCCGCAGGCTGATCGGCAGGCTTACCGGCTCGCTGATCGGCTCCAGCCCCAGACTCTCACGTGCACAGGAGGCTCAAGGCCTGGCCAATCCGGTGCGCGGAAGGGCTGGCGAGCCCGCCCCTCCCCGCTCCGGCCAGCGCAGTCGCGGGGGAAAGGCCTGCGCCAGCCAATGGGGCTGTGCTGGAGAGGCAACGGGGTCCTTTGGAGTGAACCTATCTCGGAAGCGGTTCGGCTCCTAGGGTCACTTTACAGTCCTTCGTTTCCCAACTTAGAGCGTTCTTGGCGCTAATTATTTGTTGAAAGAATAATTGGATGTCAGGACGTTAAGACAACACCGTAAAGCCTAACACGATTGCTAAGTTCATTTTTGTGGATCGAAGGTTTTGAAGTTGTTGAGTTCAGCACCAGTGTGCCCTTCAACTTTTAAGAGAAAATTTATTCCAGCCTAATTGCGAGGGTCTACTCTGTGCCGTGGTTTTGGAGCTATGATTTGAATGACATGGGCACTTTAGGCATTAGACCTGTCTAGTAAGTGTATCTGACCAAAGGTCTGGGCGGGGTTTGGGGTGGGGGGTGGTGGGGACAGAGTATGCGAAGGGGTGGGGGGACTCTAGTGAGGCTTTTGGGGCTTGGGTCAATTGGTAGGATTGGGTGAGTGAAGTGGGAGTCGGGATCAATACCCTGACAAAGGAAAGCTTTTCTACAGGTGAATCAGGGATTATCGAAAAGCTAACTTTGAACTGTGGAGGATGCCAGTTGATGGTACTACACTTATTCTCAGCTTTTGCTTCCCAAAGTCTGTAACCTGTTTTACACCTCTTTATATTCCAAGTTGAAGAGGTAGAGAGGCTTAATGCTAAGGAAATATGACACCACTTAATTCCCAATTACTAGCGTTCTGATCTGTATTCAAACAGGGAAGGTAGTGGAAAGGAATGAGGAAGAGTTAAATAAAATGGAGTCACTATGGTCAAGCTGCTAAATGATTAAAATCAAGTAGGCTGAAGCATAAGGAAACGACTCTATTCTTGCTTTAACTAGTCAGGTGAATCCCTGATTCACCTGATTCACATGCCTGGTTGTACATGAACTCCATAGGTAACCATTGGTACAACTCAGTTAATGAACCAGACCACTGGACACCTGAAAGATTGCCACCTCAGATCAATTCAGAGGCTAGGAATGCAGGACTAACTCTTCTCAAAAATACACTTTTTACTATAAAAACTCTAAAACTTCTCTCTTCTTCAGAATACTCTGGGTATTGCCTAAGTGTGTTTCAGTTTGCAAAACTAGACACTTGAATGAAACTTTGCTATTTTTAATTTTAGCAAAGCCTCCTGATTCATTTGAACCTAGTTGATGGGAAGTAATTTTTTTTGTGTGCATTGAAGAGTCAGGGACAGTACAATGCACTTTACATTCACTTACCTAATTTTGATGACAACTGTTACTATTCTCATTTTACAGATTGGGAAAACAGTGACCAGGGAGATTACATAATTTGCTCCACCTCACACCGGGTTTACTCTGTGAGTCTGCTAAACATGCTACTTCAACTCATAGGGATAATTACTCTTCACCCTCCCCTCTTCAATTTAGATCCCCCACCCAACGTTTCTTTGATAATACCTGTTTCACAACTAAAAAATAATTAGGATCATCTAATCTACCTCGAAAAACCCCAAGCAGGGTGGAAAATTTAAAAATGTTGCTGTTTGATGTAATCTATTTTTCTAATGTCACACTCTTAACTGGAAGACCTGTTCCCAGTCTTACCCCCTAATTTTACCTTAATCTTTCACACTGATTCATAAAAAAGTATTATGAATGCAACAATATGAATAAACATAATATAGAACAAAAGTAGTCAGACACAAGAATACATATTGTATGATTTCATTTATCTGAAATACAAACTCTGGCAAAACTAATCTGTGCTGTTCTAAGTCAGGACAGCGATTGCCACTGGGGAGATACGGAGTGACTGGGAGACCAGAGGGGCTTTTTAGGGCCATGTTGTTTATTGATCTGACTGTGATTTATATGGATGTGTTTAGTTTGTGAAAATTCTTCGACCTCTCAACTTATCTGCACCTTTTAGTATGTATAATGAACCCTCCCTCCCAAATAAACTCCCCTTAACCCCACTAAACTATTGTGCCCCCCAGGTAGGTACATGGCATTGTGCTAAATGCTGTGAAGAGCATAAAAGAAATAGAGATTAGTGGTTGCCAGGGACTGGGGGTGGGAAACATGGGGAGTAACTGCTCGACTCGTGTGGAATTTAATTTTGGGGTGATGAAAATGTTTTGGAACTAGATAGAAGTGGTTGCACAACATTGTATTTTGCTAAATGCCACTGAATTGCTTATTTTAAAATGGTTAATTTTACATTCTGTGAAATTCATCTCAAAAAAGAAAATTGGTTCACCAAGTGCAATGTGCTTTGGATCCTGAACAGAAAAAGGAAGTTAGTAGAAAAATGGATGTAATACAAATTGTTTGGCCTATTTAATTGACAGTTTTTTATTAGTTTTGACAAATGTACTATGGTTATATAAGATGTTAACATGAGGGGAAGTTGAGTGACAGTTATATGGGAACTGTGTTCTGCAACTTTTCTGTAAATATAAAATAAAAATAAAAAGTTAAAAGAAATAGAAGGCTGTGAGCCATTATAACAGGATCCCACTTTCTAAATTAGTGTAAGATCTTGAATAAGCCACTTCTCTCTGATGAGCCTCAATTTCCCATCAGTAAAAATAGGTTAGGCTGCAGAAGTAATTTTGCGTAAGAATGTAACCATCTCAACCTCCAAATCCACATCAGAATCTCTGGGTATGAAGGGCTTTGGTTAAAAAAAGATGAGAAACATTTCTTTAGCCTAGTAAGGAATTTTCAAAATCCAGATACCACTACAGGAATGATAGAGGTGAGAAAAACTGATGGATGACCTCAACTATTCTTTCCAGTTCTTAAATCCTGTAGTCTTAAGTCATATCCCCACTGTCAGGAAACATGACTTTTCTTAGGTAAGGTTGGGTAAGTATTAAAGCCATGTGGGAGTTCTTTTGGGGATTCATTCTTGACTAGAGCCTTATGTTGGAGTAGAAGCAGATTAGAATAGATGGTATGGTGAGCCCTCCTTAAGCAGGCTTTAAATAACAGGTTTATGCATGGACTTGATTTAATAGGAAACAGCAAAGGTCTGTAACAGCAATGTTCCCGGAAGATCCACTTGGCAAGCAGTACAAAGGGAAATCTAGGGGAAGCAGAGTGAGGCAGGAAACTGAGCTCAAAGGAAGCCACAGGAGTCCAGATGGGACTTAAGGGCTTAGCCAAGTGGTGCTCATGGGAATTCAGAAACGATATATATATATTTAAAGATTTTTTTTTTAAGGATTTTACAGAAAAGGAGAAAAACAGCAATGTGTGGTTGCCTCTCAAGCGCCCCCTTCTGGGGACCTGGCCTATAACCCAGGCACATACCCTGCCTGGAAACTGAACCAGAGACCCTTTGGTTCGTAAGCTAAATCCCAATCCATTGAGCCACACTGGCCAGGGCTATTAATCTATTTTTAAAAAAAGATTATTCATTTACTTTTAGAGAGAGGGGAAAGGGGAAGACAGGGTGAGAAAAATCCATCCCACCCTCATGTGCCCAACTGGGGACTGGCCCCCAACCCAGACATGTGACCTGACTAGAAATCGAACTGGCAACATTTTTCTTTATAGGATGATGCCCAAGCGTCTAAGCCACATCAGTCAGGGCCCAGAAACCATGTATCTGCTGTGGAGAAGGAAAAAAACCCCACTGATCTATTGACTGTTGGAAGTTGTATCTTTGTGAAATATTGTTTTCAAATTCATGATTTGAGAAAGCTATGCAGATTAGGGAATACAGCACCAGACACACAGCAGGAACTCAATAATGTTTGGAGTTGTTAAGCAGCTAGAATATAGGGTGTCCAGCAGAACCATGGAAAGCTCTTGTGGTGGCTGAAAAGCAGCTCACTTGCCTGTGAATGAGCAGCACCTGCTGGTCACCCAAGGTGTTGCAGGATCCCATTTTCAGAAAGGTGGGGTACAGTCCAGAGCCCCAAAACTATACAGGGCATAATCAGTAGATGTTCCCCAAAGCATGCCACAAACAAGCAAGATGAAACAGGACCTGTCACTTGTAGCAACAATGTCCTTTATTTGTACAAAGCACTATCATTTTCTCAACATTCACTCATTTATCAACAAATTTTTCACTGTATTAATTTAACAATTAACAGTGTCAAACTACACTTCACTACCTGTCAACTGCCTTAGAGACAAACAAAAAAGTGCTTGGAGCACTAAATGGAAATGGGGGGAACCTAAGAAAGGTCAACACAGGTACCTTAGAAGCAGTTAAAGGCGATGGTTGAGGGCGGTGAGGGGGGATTAGATTCCTGAGCACCGTTAGATTTCCCTTACAGTTCACAGATGCTTACAAAATCGTTTTTAAAAGACATGAGATTAGAACTAAGAAGCAGAGGAACCTGCACTTCAGGATATTAAGTAAGTTATCAAAGTTCCCAGACTGGCAGAATGGGAAAAGGAGGGAGAGTGGGAATGGGGAGCATAAGAGAGGCAGGAAGTAGGAAGCACAGAAGGAGAAAGTTGTGTCTAGAAGAAATAAAGTTTGGAACTTCTCATGAATTGGAAGAATGAAAAGCTGTAAAAGCCACAGTAACAAGTCTGGGAAACTGACTACAGGAAAAGAAAGGTATTTTATACCTTCCAGGTGACAACAGATTCTAAAGTTGCACAGTGGCAGGCAGTGAGGTGCATCTAAGACTAAACCATCTCATTTGTTAAGCATAAGACTTGGCACGCTTTCTTGACTAATTCCACTCTACACCAAGGACTTAAAAGCGTATGTGCCCACAGTGCAGCTGCCCCAACAGGTCAAACGCCTACAGGCAACCTAGAAGGGCCCCAAGCCAAGCGGGTGGGTAGAAACCAAAATGAAATTAATGTTACTGTCAAGTGGAGAGACCACAGATTTCACTGTTTTCCCACAGCCTTTTAGCAGTTACTTAAAACTATGCCATTTCTACCACATGTAGTAAGCTAATATTGCCAAATACTGTACAAACAGGCTGTCCATGATCTAAGCCCCAATTTTTCCTGAGCCTTGACTGCCTCCTGTGATCTGGGACACAGCAGGTGGCATGGAAGTTATTATTTTTGGTGGGGGTGGGAGGGAACTGGGAATCAGAAACTGCCTAATCATATATATAAGTAAACAAAATTAAATTGATTATCAGTTCGGAATCCCTCTTGCCAAAAAAGTCGTAACTTCTCGACGGATTAAGCAAAACAGGATTCTGCTACTCAGATGCTCTGAGTTTGGGAAGCGCTGGTTTTGGTATTTCTAGGCAGTTTTCATTTCCATCTTCTCAGGCTCTTCTGCCTAAGGCTGCTCTGCCGAGTAGGAAAACTGCTTCACACAAACGTGACCACCTTTCCGAGCGGCACCTTCCAGATGCCACCGCCTCCTCGCCCTGTTCAGTTGTCCACTTCCTCCTCCTCGTTCTGCTCTTCTTCTTCCAACCGTTCCTCGTCTTCATCATTGTCCTCATCCCTACTCTTGTCTTGCTCTTCTGAATCTGTTTTTCTGTCTTTGTCCTTCTTCTTTTGCTCGGAAGCTTCCTTCTTGCCTTTCTGCTCCCTCCTGTACGCTGTAAGGGGGAGGGGAGGGGTTAGGAAGCGGGGCTGAACCCAGCCGACGGCAGCCGCTAACTCCACGGTACAGCTGCGGCACAGAAGGAAAAATAGCCCGCCCGGCACTACAAACCAGACCTCAGGTGGCCCCCACTGAACCGTTTCCGAGTCACATCCAATACTTGCTCCTCGGGCTTACAGGGACCCAGGCTGAGAAAGACTTCGGACCAGGTGAGCGGGCCTTACAGAATGCACACCTCCTTGGCTGAGAAAATATAAGGCTCATTACCTTCCAGAGCTTCTTTCAACGGGGTAACAAACCGCTGGAACTCCATTTCCTCCATGGCCGAGAGCACATCACTGGCATTCAGCGTCTTGCGTTTCCCTTTCATCGCGAAGTTGTTGGCACTGAAACAAGATTAAGGGCTGTCAGACCCTCTCTTGCCGCCTACGGCGTGGGCGGAAAATGGGGCGCCCAGAGGTGGAATGGGAAAGCCCACGTCTTAGCTGCGTGGTGACTTGGTAACTCCCCTCCTTCCCCGTACAAAAGGGTTCAAGCAAAGTTATTTTGTTCCATTTGCTTCAGAACTTGGAAAAACTGGGTAAGGGCTCTGACCTCCCTCCAGGAGGCAGGACGCAGTTACTGGGGTTTGTGGGTTCTGACCCAGGGGGTCTCCTTGCGCCTCCCTTCTGCCACAGACCCAGTGAAGCTCGGGCTAGCTCTGTCCTCCTCACCAGGACGTGGCGTACAGCACGAAGACGCTGGCGGCACGGGAGATGGCACTGCGGGCCTCCTTGGAGATGTTGACACCGTCCGGGAGCTGTGAGAAGAGCAGGGGTGAGCAATGCTGCCGGCCCAGGTCCTGCTTCCCGCCCTCGCCCGCTCGTCCGCCCTGGCCCATCTGTCAGTCTAGATGCTCACCGCCTCCTTGATGATCCTGGTGATGACGGCGTTGGGCAGGTTTAGGTCCTCGGGCCTCTCCGCCATTGCCGCCGCCAGAATCGGACCTCCGCCTCAGGCCTCCTCTTCAGACAGCCACAGCGTCTGGACTTCCCGCGTCGCCACGGTCTGATCCAAGGAGGCTTCCGTCCCACCCCACGTTGCCCACTGTGTCCCATCCTGCCCCGCGCGCTATAACCTCCCTCCTCCACCAGCCCCGCCTCCGTCTCAAGTTGTGGAGGCATCCGAACGTTCCACGCCGCTATGGTTTCGGCCAGCCTGGGTTCCGTCTGGCCCCACCGATGCCGGGTGTCCCTTTCCAAGCTCATTTGTCTGCTTCACGCCATGACCACGCCTGACGATTTCTTACCAAAATAAGTTGGGCTCACTGGGGCTTCCGTTTCTTCCCCATAGTGCTGTGCGCTGCTGCTTGGTGACGGCGCAGTCTGGCGCGTTGCTGGGGAGGAGGTGACGAAGACGCGGACTGAGACGGCGAGGGGGGGCTCCTTTGGACGAGAGGCGGGGCCTGGTGGGAGGGGCCCACGGGCTTCCTCACCGCCCCAAGAGGAGCAGCGTTTATTCTCTGAGCTTCAGCTCCCACCAGTGTGGTATCGGCTTGGGTTCTACGCATCCGCGGCTCCCCGAGGCCGGATTCTCACTCACCTTTCCCAGAATGAAGTGGGGAATCGTTTTTAAACTCTAATCGGAGCTGATGTCCATCCTTAATAATTACATTCCTACAAACTTGGTAATAATAGTATTAAGGATAACTGTTACCTAGAATTTTCGAACGCAAATTACTTTGTCGCAGCACGCCAATGCTGGCAGCACAGAGATGGGCATGACTAGACGTCTGGGCTCAGTTCGGGATGGTCAGGTAATGAAAGGGCGAGAAGCCGGTTGTGAGAATAATACGACATCCCATTCTCACTCAAAAACAAACCCTCTCACAATTTTATTTTGTTTTAGTTTTTAAAATCGTTCATTGAACATCTTTTTCCCCGTCAAAGGCATTACCATAGCTTTACAATGGCTTTTTGAGTTGTATCATTTTCATGTTTTGTATGTACACATTGTCCTCACCCCCATTGAGTACTGCTTTTTTTTTCTTGAAACACGTCTGAAGTCGCCTTTTTGTTGTCCTGCTTTTGATAATGACTACAGATAAATATTTCCCCATTAGAAAAGCAACGTCAGTTTGAGGATAAATGGCAATGGAAATGGCTTCAATTAGAAACTGTAAGATCTGGCGGGAAAAATCTCCACTTCGATAAAACAGATCTGGTTTAAACATGTTAGGAGATGCTCAGGGTCAGTCAATTGCTGTCCTATTGGAATGGGGCCTTTGTATTGTCAGATATTTTGATCTCTAAAAGGGGCGACATATCTGGACATCATGGACTATTTCCATTTAAAATAATGGCCCAAAATACAGCCTGAACGAGACAAGCCATAGAACAGGTGCAGTCCTAGGCCAGTATTTTGCAGTGTGTGGTCTAAATTAGAAGTTCTTTAGAACAGGGACTTGTTTTGTTATTACTGTTCTCCATGCTTGTAACAGGTTCCCTTACATACTTGGTAGTCAATAAACATTTTGCATAGAAGAAAGTAGAAACGGGACACTGTCCTTACAAAGTTATCATGGATCAGGTGGTAGCGACTGCATAGAACATTTCTAGAGAGAGAAAAATGATAATATTTATTGAGTACCTGTTACATTACCGCACATAAAATACATTTTTTCATTTAATGCTTCTACAATCCTATTTAGGGATTTCCCTTCCCATCCTTTAGATGAGGAAACAGACTAAGGGAGATTAAGACACTTGCCTAAGACCATACAGACAGTAAATGAAAAACCAATGGCCTCTGATATAACTGCACGTCTACTAGATTTGCTGTTTGAGCAAACCCATTAATTTCCAGCCTGTATTTCAGTGCCTGTATGAGAATTGGAGCATATTGGGAAATGAAACATGTTTTCCAAAGCTCTGAGCCATCTAGAGTACTTCTGTAATTACATTTGTTGGTTTTTGATAAGACTTTTTGGAGATGGTGGTATCTTCTCCCTAATGATTAATAAAGGGGAAAAGGAAAGGATGCTGATATGTATTCTGAACTATGTGCCAGACCTTTTAACATCCATTCACTAATTTTTGTAATGACCATGTGAAATAGGCTTATCCTCATTTTGCAGATGAGGAAATTAAAGCCTATCTTTCAATGGCAAATTAGGAGACCATCTGAATTCAGTCAGCTCCCAGACTCTTGCCACTTTATTTCACACTGTGATGTTTTCTTACTTGCTAGTTATTCAGCTCTTAATTATCCTATGACCGCCATTTACTTATAAGGGTTCAATGGATATATTTTATGCTTTGAGTCCAAATTAAGATCTGACTAGTGTATAATACTCCCTAATTATGTGGCTGTTTCTCCAAAGGGCTAGAAAGCTGCAAGTTTAGCTTTTGACCTAAACCATTTATAACTATGGACTTGCCAGATGAGAGCCAGTGGGATGAAACCACCTGTGATTTGGCTGTTTGTCAGCATCCACAATGCTGGGCAACTATCCGCCGGATTGAGAGGGGCCACCCTCGAATCTTGGGCCCACCCTGCAAAACTCCTCTGGATGTTGACGGTGAATTAGCCAACCTGTCTCTTTCCTTACAAGATCTTTGAACTACTGTATCTTTCCCTTTTGATATGTTACATGTTTTCTTCTGGTCTGTTTTCTCAGACAAACTCCCAGTGGTCACCATTGTAAACATCCCAGGTCCCTGCTCCCAGGCCAAGAGACGTCCTCGTCGTCGTATACCAGGACTTACCTTCACTAAGCCTCACTCTTTATTGTCTCAGGGTTCAAAGTTTGACTCCAAATTTCAAGGCAGGTAAATTGTCATGGAACCTTTAAGAGCCTGTTGTCTCAAAATTCTGGTATGACTTTCTTTACCATTGTAGAAGACTTTGGGAAAGCTGGATGAAAAATAAAATACCAGTTCAGCTAAAGAAGTGGTAAATAGGTAGAGGGAAACTAAAAGAAAGCATTCTTATTTGTGTTCTAAGAGTTGGTTAAAATGGGGTGATGTATTAGTTTGCTAGGGTTTCACACATACAGAGTACCACAGACTGAGTAGCTTAAACAACAGAAATTTACCTTCTCAAAAACTCTGGAGGCTCGAAGGTCAAGATTAAGGTGCTGGCAGAACTGCTTTCTTCCAAGCCTTCTCTGCTTGGCTTGTAGGTGGCTATCTTCTCCCTGTGCCTTAACATGGTCTTCCCTCTGTGTGTGTCTGTGCCTCATCTCTTTCCATAATCACACCAATCCGATTGGATGAGGGCCCACCTACATGACCTAATTGTACCTTAATTACCTCTTTATAGATCCTGTCTCCAAATACAGTTGAAATATGAGGTACTGGGGTTAGGACATCAACAAATGAATTTGGGGGGGACACAATTCAGCCCATATCAGGGGATGTTTCGTTAACTTCTGTGGGTCATCAGAAACTGTCTATATATGCTGTCTTTCTTATCTTTTATTTTTAGGTATGAAACTATAAATTCCTAAAGGAAGAAGTAATGGCTTTTGCTGTTGAATATCCTACAAAGTTTATGTACTCAATTAGTGCTTGCTGACAAAGGAAGCTAAGGGAAAGGCATCTGTGGAAACCTTAGACTTCTAAAATTTGAAGACCCTGTCGCCTGGAACGAAAGCACTCCTAGTGGCCCTTGTGGTGGTTTCTCATCTCCTGTTCCATTTAAGCAGCTTTTGATATTTTTTTCTTAGGCTAAAGATAGTACAGGAAAGGGTAGGTCTATTTTAAGGTTCTCTAGGACTCAAACTCTGGAAAACAGCGGCTTTTCCCAGGCGGGGCCTATGAAGGTCAAGCCCCCAGCATCATTTGTTTAGTCACTCATCGAATTCACAGATGTATCTCAGTGGGGGCTTCTTTCCTGAGCGCTGGGGATATGGTGGTGAACAAGATAGAGTCTAATTAGGGAGACAGAATCATTCATTGCGATGAGTGTGGTAAGAAGAGTGTCCCCTTGGTGTGGGGATGCACAAGAGGAGGACCCCTAACCTAGGTCACTGCGTTCTGTATAGGTGGCATCTTGCTTAGACCTGAAATTAGAACAGTTTAATGAAGTGGGGGTTGTAGGTAGGAGGAGGAGAAGGAGAGAGTTCTAGACCACAGAAACCCAGAAGGCAAGAAGAAATTCTTTAGTTACCAGGAAAAAAGTTCAGTGTGTTTGGAATGCAGAGAAGAAGTGGGAGGGCGGTCAGAGGTAAGACTGGGGAGCTGGAGTAAAAAGCAAGGGCCTCCATGTAGGACTTTGTAAGTCAGGCTAAGAAGTGGGGCCTTTATCTTATATCTCTCCAATATTTATCCATTATATACATTTAACAAGTTTTTAAAAGTATAAAATAGCAAGTGATTAAAAAAAGATAAGATGGTATTTTTTTTTAATGTGGTAAATATACACAACATGAAATTTACTATTTTAACAACTTAGGTGTACAATTCAGTAGCATTAAGTACATTCACAATATTGTGCAACCATCACCATTATCCATTGCTAAAACTTTTTCTTCATCTCAAACAGGAACTCTGTACTCATTAAACAATAACTCCTCATTCCCTCTTCCCTCTAGCTCTTTATTATCTCTATTATATTTTCTGTCTATGAATTTGCCAGTTGTAGATACCTCATATAAGTGGAATCATACAATGTTTATCCTTTTGTGTCTGGTTTATTTCATCTAGTATGATGTTTTCAAGTTTCATCTGTGTTGTAGCATGTATCAATTTCATTCCTTTTAAAATTCCTTTGTGTGTATATGCCACATTTTGTTTATTTATTATGTTTTTGGACATCTACATCAAAGGCACTTAATAAACGTTTATTGATGATTGTGTAACTATCTGTAGCTGGGGGGAGAGAGGTACAGGCTGTGCATTCAGTTTGATCCAACAAATAGTTGTACAGTTTGCAATGTGCAATATCTGTTTGGGAGCTGTTCCAGGAAAAACAAACCAAACTTAATGAGATGGCAAGATCTTACATTCATTAAGTAAGTATTCAGTCCAAGACTTTCTATAAGTAGAAGGCTTTTCGTCATAGCACTAATTTTATCATCCCAAGAAGTCTTCGTGTCTCTCTCATATTCAGAAACTCACTTTTTAGGTCTCAGAAGAATTTACCTGGCAAAGATTTGATCAACTGTACTAAGAAACCTTTCAAAGTAAGTCACAGATTGAAAAAGGTACTACCTCTGCGTCTTTTCCTTACTATTGGAAGTCGAATACTTGCCTTTACTTAGCATTGTTCCTTGGGATGGCTGCAACCTGAACGATGATGATCATGATGATGGTAACTAACATTGGGCCCTTCCTGTGTGCTAGGCCCTGTGCTAATGGCTTTACATGCTGTACTGTTGCCAGAAATCCCAGACACAAGTGGGTTTGACTGTGGCAGTTTGGCATACTCGTAACATGTCCAGCTACTAAGTAAACACTGTCATCTCACAATATGGGGAGATTAGAATGCTGGAATGGCAGACCTAAACCAGGCCTTAAGGTTGTCTACTCTGATGACTTTCAAATATTTTTAGCTGTAACCTACAGTTAGAAATATATTGTGCAACCAAAATATCATGGAACAATCCTTACCCTAACTAAGAGTGATGTACTCTGATATTTTCTATTCTGTTCTATTGTATTCTGTTTCATTTTTAAACAATGTAGGCTGCAATTCACTCGATTTGATAACCTATAAGTAAGTTGGCAATTACAGTTTGAAGAATATCACTGTGGTCTATCTCATATATTTTACAGTTAAGGAACTAAGGCCCAGATAGGAGGTGATTTGCTAAAGCACATAGCTAGGGGCAGAACTAAATTAGAGTTTAGTTAGGGGCAGAAGTAAATTAGAGTTTAGGAAGAAAAACCCTTCCATTGATACTTACCTACAGTAAGAGAGATTTGCTATTCTTTGCAGTCCTAGTGATGCTTTTTATTTTTTCATGAGATACTTCACTTTTCAGTGTCGTGTTGTGGAGAATGTAAGGAACTAAGAGAGAGTAGATAGGTTTAAATGGATGAACGAACAAAATACTTACCTCTTCGACCACTTTGGAATGAGAGTGTTAGGTTAAATTGGTTTTAAATTAATTATTTGAATAGATTATACATGTATATGGTTCTAAATTCAGAAGACAGGGAAGGGTTTACAGTGCAAAGAAGTCTCTGTTCCCCTAAACCTGTCAGTTCCTTTTCATGGGGACAACCTTATTTTTAACCACCTCCCTTTTGCTACTAGGGATCCTAGATCATTTATAAGGTTTCCTTATAAATACGCGGGCAACCAGTGTTCTAGTATCTTAAATAGCTAACTCTGAAAAGAATTAAGATTTTAACTTTTATGTAGATGCCTATAATTCTAGACAGGCTGTAAAAGCAAACTTGCTTTTGTCTCTATCAATTTTCTCTCTGCTCCCAAGTTATATTGTAATATCTCCAGAGGATCTAAGTTTTTGGAGTGGAGTGCCCAGAATGAGTAGTGTGTTCTTAGGTAAGCTCCTAGGTACCCTTGTATGGAACCGGGGGTAGGAGTTGCCAAATGCCACCCTAATGTCACAGGAGGCAGGGAGATTATTCACTTAATAAATGCTTACTCTTACAGTAACTGTAGTGATACCTGGTTTCTTAGGGGAATATTATGAAGGTGTTTGGGGGATAGGAGAATGTCTTTTTATTATCTTGTGAGCCACTGTACCCTTTTGGTTAGCATGATAATTGAGTCCTTGGTTTGGTATTGACTGCTTCAAATGATACATAGGCTTTATATTTTTCTTGTAGCTTCCAGTGCTAAATTTGAATGAGACACAACTTCCTTGCCGTCAAGATGTTAGAAATATGGTTGTAGTCTGGATCCCAAAAGAACCAGAAGACCATGTGGGGTGAGTGTCATGTCTAGAACTTAGGGGTCTTCAACTCTTAGGTTCTACAAAGCCCTACTGTCCTCTGCAGGTCTCCTTTCATGATTCATGATCTCCATTTAAGCCACCTTACTGCACGTAGCAGGAAGGCCAGCCAGAGAAGGTCATAGTCTCTTGCATCTGCCACTTGCTACACTGGAATTCTATTTTAATGTACTTCCAGATTCATGTCTTGGGACTTCTCAACATCAAATTCTACGTGGCAGTAAATAGCGTACAAGATAGGGCCCAGTGTATTTGTGAGGTTTGATTAAGAATCAAGTGCTTTCTGACTGTTAGTTTTTCTTATTAGTCATCAGCAACTAGTGAAAGAGTTTACAGTGAAGCACATGAATCTTTGATTTCAACCCCAAGGCTAGTAGTACAGTGGCACAAAACAAATAGCATGTAGGACTTGTGTACAAAACTGAATGTTACAAAAATTACTTGACAAAGGCCCGAAGCTTTGCTAATATTGACAATTTTTGGAATAAAGAGGTTTTTCTTTCTTTCTTTCTTCCTTTTTTTTTTTTTTTTTTAAGATTTTATTTATTTATTTTTAGTGAGAGGGGAAGGGAGGGAGAAAGAGAGGGAGAGAAACATCGATATGAGAAACTGCTGCCTGTTGCATGCACCCTGACTCAGGACCAAACCCACAACCCAGGCCTGTGCCCTGACTGGGAATCAACCCAGGAACCCTTCACTTTGTGGGAATATGCCCATCCAACCTAGTCACACTGGTCAGGGCAAAAGTTTTTCTTTGGTGACTGCTGAGGTTTTCACATTCTTGTTAAGTGACTGTTTAGAGGTGATGAAATTTAAGAATTTCTTTTTATTTCATTTTCTTTTTTAAAAAATGATCCTGTTAATATTTCTTTATATATGTATTCTGTGTGTGTATATGTGTAGACATATATATATATACACACATAGATATATACACACACACGTATGTCTACACACACACATGTATATAAAAACAAGTTTAAAAAAACCTAAGGCTTCATTTCCTTTCATGTAAAAGAAGCCCAGATATAGGTGGGCCAGGGCTAGTAAGTCAGGTCCGTGAGGAAGTCAGAAACTGGAGTTCCATCTAGCTCTTTCCGTCGTCATCCTTAGCCATGACTTGCTTCTTTGAAGGTTCATAGGGGATTTTAAGGTCTAAGTGACTGCTAGAGCTCCAGCCATCACAGCCACGTTCCAGGCAAAAAGGAGGAGGAAGGCAACAGAGCAAAAATATTTGAGCCCTCCTCATGCCAAGCAGTAAGAATTCAGTGGAGAACCAAAGAGACTTGGTCCCTGTCCTTCTGTAGTCTTTCGGTGGTGGGAATTCAGGTTTACAAACATCACCGCACTTAAGTATATAACTGCTGGTTTGGATTAATGCTATTAAAGTAAATAACTGGATTATATGAGAGAATGGTGAGGAACCTAACTTAGATGTGAGGAAGGGGGTCTTTTTTCCGCAGCTTCTGGGTAGCAGGTACAGTTGGACTCCCAGTCAGCCACCACTGAGTACTGAATAGAGGATAGAAATCTTCATAGTCATCATTCACGAATAATCTTGGTACTTCTGTTTAAGATGTCTGGAAATAAGTTGTGGTTACTCTTATTTCAAGTCCAGCTGAGAAGCATATTGTTCCCAGCCGGGAAGGGAGGAAGAAAAGAAAGACACCTACAGTGGTAAGTTTGATGTTTTGGCCAAAGCTTTACATCACTCTATAGAGTTTATTTTTGTTTTCCTTTCAGATGTCTTCCCCCTTCCCCTGTTCTTTCATTAAATGAACAAAATTTGCAAAAGAAAACCCCTCTTAAGAAATAATTACCAAACCATTTGTATTCAGAGACCCTTTTTCCATACCTCCTCCCTGTAGGAAGGTGAAGAGCACCTTGCAGAGATGTGAGGAGGAACTGCTGGGTATTCAGGGGGAATTTTTGGTCAATTAAAAACTAATTCCCGGTGTGATGGAAATAGAATTTCAACAGACTAGGAGTTATAATGGATCTGGGCTTTTATTTCTAATTCTACCATTTATTGGGCAAATGTAGCCTTGAAGAGTCACAGAGCTGGAAGGTTGCTACGTCCTTGAGAATAGTGTCTTGATCCATTTTGTTCATTGCTGAATCCTGGCACTAGCCCTATGCCTGACACTTAGTTTGCCAACAAGTATCTGTTCAGTTTGTTCAGTGAATAAATGAATAACCTTTTGGGGGAACAAACAAACAAACAAAACAACTAATCCCTGTATGATCTGAATTCAACAGTAGGATTGGGGAGCCAGAGGGGGAAGAATACAGTGGCCCTCACAGCGCAGATTGGGGAGGGGCTGCTGCTGGACTAGGTGTGGAAACAGGGAGTTGCCTGTGCCAGGGTTGTGTCGGGAGGCTGGAAGGTGGATGGGAAGTGGCGTCGAACAGAGGGCTTCAGGGCGTTCTTTCCATTTTTTCTTTTCCAGAAAGACAAGTCATCTCTGGTTCTCTCTGGAAAGCAGGACATAGAAGCACAGTTGGGAACTCCAGAGATAATTGTGCCTCCTCCATCCCCAGTATACTTGTTTGAGCAACGAAGTTCAGAATTCCTACCTTTCTGGAACCAATCTGACACATTACCTCTGGATCTCCTAAATGAGTGAGTATCACATCAGCCTGTGGGAGGAGCTGCTTTTCTTGGAAGCTGGGAAGGATCAAAGCAGTGTGCTCTTCCTGTGTAGGGAAGGGAGAAAACTGTCACTCTACTTGTTCACGGAGTTCTTAGACTTAAAAATACGCAGTGGTGACAGTAATCACCACCACTTATCAAGTACTTCCCACCTGCCAGGCCCTGTCCTAAATAAGCACATTACATACATTCCGTCATTTGAACCTCCACTACAAGGTACACCCAGTCATGCTCCTCTTCTTATCCATGAGTTATAGATTAGTGGGAGTCAGAATGGATTTCCTTTGTATCAAAATTTACTGGCTTCATGGATTTTGGTAATTAGCTTCTTTAAGCTTCCTTTTCCTAATTTGCAAAATGGGGACAATCATACCTGTCCTCAGGGCGGTGTAAGGATTCACTGGTATAAAGCACACGAGCCTTACAGATAGTAAACCCTTACGCTGTATAGCTGTAATGATCACAGTTGTGTCCGAAAGCTGTCAGTGGAGTAGTACCTGTTGGTACAGGCCTCTTAGGCCCAGAGTGGACAGTTTGTCAAATCTGGAGCCCTTTGCATGTTTCCTCCCAGCCACAGTCTCCAGGAAGAGCTGTTGCTGATTGTCTGGCTGTCTCTGTCCCTTTCAGTCTTTTGTCAGATGAAGAGATAACCACGCCTTGTCCAGAGATGAAGACACAACTGGCCATGATGAAAAAGAAACCTCCTCTGGAAAAGAGCCAACCCGACAGTGCCATTTCTGCGAACATGTTTTTGTCTGTCCACCGCCTCACCCTGCAGGTAAGAGTTAGGCCGCCTCAGAGCAAGGTGTCTATGCAAATCCAAACTCATCTATCTTCAAGGCATGAACAGTGGACATTCTGTTTCTTCTTTCTCTTCTATCCTTCCACTCTGGGCCTAAGCCCCACAGAAGGGCTGGCCTATATGAGGGTGAAGGCAAATGTATGGGGAGGGGCCTGAGGGGAGCGATGTTCTCTATTTCCTCTGCGCTTCGTTTCCTACGCCATTCCCCTCTCCGAGCTCGTGGTGCAATGCTGCACACACCAGGTTCTCAAAAGTGCGTGTTGACTAGATGGATCAATGCATTTGGGGAAGGGGCAAGACCTATGGTAGAGCTCTTCTGTCTTTTTTTCTCCAGAGACCAGCATTGAGATATCCTGAACATCTGAAGAAATTATGTTATAACCTGAAGATAGAAAGTAGGTTTTCTGGTGCTTCCAAATCTCCAGATACCATTCTCCTTAGCCCATAATACTTATACTTGATTTTGGTCCAATTCAGTTATGTTTGTGGCCATAGTCACACAGACATGTGGAACTCGGGAAACTGCAGTTTCAAGAAGCAGCCACCACCAACCCTGCCCCACTTGGTCCTGACCAGAGAGAGTCACCATTGTGGAGCAGGGCACAGCATGCAGCCTAGGGGGCGGTGGCGCTATCAGGGAGAAGAGGGTTGACCTGGCTCTCTGGTCACCAGGTCATAGGAAGCAGCAGCAGCAGCAGCAGAGGACATTGAAGACACCTACTAAGAAACAGGTAGAGCAGTGCTGAGGGGACACCTAGGACTTGCTGGGACTGGGAGAAGTGAGTGCAGCCTGGGACGGGAAGCAATGTATAAGAGGTGGGATTCTCCCTGTTCTCTGTCTGGCTATAGATGCAACATTCCTGTTTGGTTGTAGATACTAACTTCCTTCTTCTAGATTCTTTTTTTGAAAAGTTTTCTTCACTTCCAAAAAGTTCTAATTCAGTTCTTCCTCATGTGGTTTTAGGAGCCTAAAAAGAAATCCAGGAGTGATCCAGGGAGTGCCAGCACTTCACAGAAACTTTCAGGTGCCATGGTTTGTGACCCATATTACAGTAAGGAGAATATGGGTTGAGAGTGATAGAGTCCCAGGATAGAGCTGAGGGCAGGAAAAGTTGAACATATTTGTCATTTGGAGACCTGCCTTGTCAGGCATTCGGAGTTCTCCTTGGAATGCTTTGGCTTGGCTACCATCCTTCCATCAAACATTTACTAAGCAAGCAAGTGGGACCAGATGTCTGCTTCACAGGCGATTTGAGAGAGGACTGTGAGCGTAAGTCAGGGCCATCTTCCCTCAGGTCCTGCTTTAGAAAAGGCAGAACAGTTTGAGGGTGATGAACAAGCTCATGTTACTGAAGGGGAGAACTCTGAGGACCCATTGCTTGACGAAGCAGCGAAGGTCCGGGGTCCCTCACTAAAGGCCCCAGAGAGTTCTAAGGAAGCAGAGTCTTGGGCCCTCCGCTTCCTCTGCCACAAGTTAATCTCTGCAGCCTCAGGGTAATCAACACATTATCTAGACCCATCTAGGAAGTGGGTAGCAAATTCTTGACAGGTGATCCTTTTCCTCCAGTGCTCATGCTGGAGATAAGATGGGCATCTCACCTTTTTTGGAGTTCTTATGATGTCTGAGCTGACGGATATGCTTACCTCTGTCCTCCTGGCATTTTTCAGCTGGAATGCAGAATGGGGGGAAAGGAGGGAGAAAGAATCCCTCCAAAAACCTTCTGCCCTACTTAAACTGGACCCTGCTGACTGTAATGTGAAAATAACTGTTTAGTCATCAGAATTCGTTCTCCAACCCTGGGGCACTGGGAAGGAAGCTACTCTCTTGGTTTATTTCCCATCCCACTGAGCTCTCTGATACCAACAGTGTCCTCTAACTTGAAGATCTAAGAAGGCTCCTCACCTTCACATAGGAGGTAGACAGAACCAGGGCTGTGGTCTAGAGCAGGAGGTGACTTGTCCAAGGTTAGCACCCCATCCAGGGTGATCCACACTCCCCTGAACTCCACTCTGGTGCTTTTAGTTCCTGTTTCCAATGCCTCCAGTAGGAGCAGTTTTGCTTGGGTGAATGGGGTGCCCCTTGGAATCATGTGCTTAGAGTAGTGGCCTGTCCTCATTGAGTTGAGAAAGGCCTTATGGAAGAGACGATTTTTGCATTGGAATTTGGGTACATGTGAGAGTTTTCCTGGTAGGGCGGACAACTGCCCAGGGAACGCTGAGCTGTCTACCCTGGCTGTGGGGTTGGATATTTAAGGGAGAGAGGCGGGTAGAGGCCTGTATAGCCTGCCAAGGCGTTTGACCTTTATCCTCCGAGTTGGTGGGGCTCCGGCCTGATTGCTCGCTGAGATCAGCTGAGGAGCAGTTAGAACCCTAATTCCTGGGCTGCACCCTAGACCTATGAAATCAGAATTTCTGGTGTTGACACCCAGTCCTCAGGGTTTCCGGAACTCTGCAGTGTGTCAGTGTGCAGCTAATGTGGGGACCAGCTCCGGAGAGACCCAGCAGAGGTGTTGAGCAAGGGAGTCCCTTGACCGGCTTGGCCTTTTAGCACAGTTCTGGTGGCAGCTTGGAAGATGTTCGTTTAGAGAAAGGGAAACTGAGAATGGAGAGAATGAATGCATTCATTCAGGACTAGCTAGGGATATAAAGCTGATGCAAAACAGTTCTGGAACTAGAGCTTTCTTGGGGGAAGGTTTCATTTTCAGAAACCAACATGGGTACATTCGGTATGGTGCAAGAAGGTCAGAGGAGTGTTCATAAACAGAAAAGGAGAGTCAGGGCTTCTTTTGCTGCTGTGCTGTGCAGGTAGCTGCTGCTTAGGTTTCTTGGAGGCATCCTGGGTCTTTCAGCACACACTCTACCTTAGTCTCTAATTCTGTATTAGATGTGAGCACAGTCCCAGGTGAACAGAATCACACATAGAACTCCGAAAGCCTAACTCCCTTTTAGCTGCCTCTAAACTCCTGCCTTGTCCTAGATAGGGAGTCATTTGTAGCCTAGGGTGTCAACTAGAAGCCCCAAAATAGGATTGAAGTACAAATAAGGAGAGAACTGAGTTGACTTTGTGGTCACTAGGTCACAGAACGCTACCAGGTCAGGAAAGTGACAAAAAGCAGCAGCCGCAGCAGCAGCAGCAGCAGACAAAGGAAAACGGCCACACCTTGAAACAGGTGAAGAGTGTATGAGGGTCATTCTGCTGGGGCCCTGTTTCCGTTGCCTGTTACTGTCTAACAAACCTCCGCAAAGCTGAAACCACAGTGGTTTGTCATTTATCATGATTCTGTGGGTTGACTGGATGGTTTGACTGCCTAATCTGGTTTAATGTCATTCGTGTAGCCACATTCAGCTGGAGGTTGGGCTGGGGCTGTTGGCCAAATTGCCTTGGTTCTCTTCTGTGAGTTCTTTACGTGTGGGTGGTTTGCGCTTTTTGACAGCATATTAATCTCATGCAAGTACTTGCTTAAGGGATGGGCCTGGAACTGGAACAGTGTCACTTCTGCCACATTTTAGTAGTCAAAAAAATAAAAAAGTTAAAAAACAACAAGTCTAGTCCAGATTCGAGAGAAGAGGAAATCAACTCTCCCTCTTGATAGAAGGAGCAGTACGTGCATATGGGAACCGAGGGATTGTTGGCAGCCATGTTTGGAGGCAATCTGTCCTTAGCTGCCAGCTGGGAGTGGGGAGGCATGGGTTCTGGCTTCATCTGGACAGCCTGGAGGGCAAAGAGTATGTGATACAAGCTTCTTCTCTCTTAGTCTCAGGAGGTGGGGTTTTTGTCCTGTCTTAGATGTTAATTTCTCCAAGAAAAGCATAATTTAGATAAAGTTTCAAGTTTCCTTACACTTGCTCCGATGAATTTCAGGATTCCACAGAGAGATCACAGATGGACTATGCTGAGAACTATGTGGATTCCTTCCCCAGTAAGCAACGTAAGTCACTAGGGTAGAGGAACCTTAGAAAGTGACTGCGGACAGGGAGAGCTAACTCTGGGTTGACCAGGCTGGCTTACCTCCCTGGATGACATAGCCCTCACCCCTCAGAAACATCCTAAAGACATCTCAGCCCTTCCTTTTCTGTCCCCCATTTGTCACAGTTAGTTGGGAGAAGGCTACACGGTACAAGTAATTGCTGGGTCTCCTTTTAGATCCTAAGTTATCCAAGACAGAATCCACTAACGAGGACATCAGTACTCAGATAGAAGTTGTGTCAGAAGCGCAAGAGAGGACATCAAAGGACCTTTCAGCCAATACATCTAGAATAAGTTGGAACACTGTGCTCAAACTACTGAGGATTCTTCAGTCCACTGATTATGAAGATGTGGAGAGCCAGCTCTCTGGGATGCAGGGAGAAAAGTCTCCGGAGGCATAGGTAGACATCATCACTGGGCAGCTTTATTCCATAGCAGGATGCTTAGAAATCTGAGGACAGCGACCTTGGACATAAAGGCCAAAAGGAGAGGGGACTTCTCCCTAGGGCCTTTACCAGGGCCTGAGCTTAGGGATTCTGTTTTCTTTACTCACCTCTACTTGCCTCTAAAATAAGTGAGGGAGAAAGAGCCCCTACCCCTTTAAAACTGGGATTGTTTCTTTTCCATTAGGGCCAGAATAATGTGTGATTAAACATAGCTGCTACTTAATCAAAAGACTCATTCTCTGTTTCTGGGAGTGGGGGAGAGGTATTTCTTGGCATCTGTTTTCTCCTCTCTGAAGCTCTGAAAGCTTTTCACTTGTAGGAAGATGAATTTGACTTAAAGAAACCCCTACTGTGTTCCTAGTTTTTCCTCTCATCCTCAGGAAATGGTTTTTTTGAGGATGACGTCCACATAATTATTCAATATTTGTTGTGTTATGTGTAATACTCTTTTGTATGTGGTACAAGACTCATAATAACAAGAAAGAACCTGAAAGCTCCAGTTTCTAAGTTACTGAATCCTCAGGAACATTTCTCTGATGCTCATAAAGACTTGGGATTGCTTGAACTTGATTTTTGATAAGATTTTTTTTTAATGTTTTTGTCCTTAAACTTTTTAATATCTAAAAATTTCAAAAGTACATGAAAGAGAATAATATCACAAAATTCTCACGTACTTAGAGAAAGCTCTGCCCGATGCCCCAGGAGCCGAGGTGAGGGCAGCTGGGGCCCCAGCGCTCCCAGCAGCTCTGCGATTGCGGCCAAGCCTCCCTCCCACATGGAGGGGCTGGATGGAAGGAGGGAGTCCCTTCATGTCAGCTGCACTACCGGGAGCTTAGCTCAGCAGCTAGGTAAGCTGATGGCAAGATGAGAAATGATGACATCCTGTCCCTTCTGAGAAGACAGCCCTCTAACTTGGAGTTGAGGGGGAGGGAGCACCATGTTTTTGGCCTGCAGCAGCGGGGAGTAGAGTTTCTGTCTTATCGAACTTGGGACAGGGAGGGCACATACCATAGACTGCTGCAGTCCATACTGGGCTTTTGTGCATTTTCTTGAACAAATGGTTCTTCATTTGCTGGATCCCCTTAGGGTCATTTTTAGAGACGTAAAAAATTTAAAATAATTTTTTTCACACTATTTTCACTGGAGAGCAGTCCGTGGCGCTCCTTATACTGTTAGGCCAGAAGTGGAACTCTGGGTGGGACCTAAGACCTTTTTATAAAGTGAAACTTATCCCTCATCAGTTATTTGGTTACCCTAAGTACAGTTCATACAAGAATGGCAGATTAAATGTTTGACTCCTTTTTAACAATGTCTCAAACACAGACCAAATTAGAGAGCTCAAACTTCTACCTACCCATTCCTCCTCATTCCCAAGCCAAATAAAATTATATGACATCATTTTTATTACTAGACTGAACTATACTTAGCTGAAACTTCATGGTAAGAGGAATCTAAGCGGCATTATTTGGGCTGTTTTAAAGAAAATATTTTTCAAATGTACATTACATTGCAGAATGACTTCTGTGGGAATTTAAAAATTTACGACTTTCTTCACTTTCCCTTAGCCTACACTCAGACCTTTCCACCCAAACAAACCCAATTTCCAGTGGTCAGGGGCGGGTTTGAGGATGGGCAGGGCTCAGCTTTCACGTGCTCACTTTCTCTGAAGACTTAGAGAAGGGAAGGTCTAACTTTTATAACTTATAAAACTACTCAGTAAAGCAGCTCTCAGAAACTGGCACATTCTTTAAAGTCCTGTTGATGAATACAGAGTTACCTTTTGAATCATGACATGTTGGGAGTGAGAAGATACTTGCTATCTGAACACTGGCCTTTGCTTCTATTTCCAAAGGGAGGTAAACATTAGCAGGATGAACTTGTTTCATCTTTTTTATACCAACCCTTCGAATTTAGATAATCACAAACAGGATTTAGGGAAATATAATCTACATTCAACATTACAGTTTTCAAGATGCTTTACATCCACTATTTTGCTTGGTTCTCTGGCCAACTCAACAGATGAATATCGTCACAACGCAGGTCTGCTGCCTGTTGCTTTGAAAGCCAGGACTTGAGAGGCACGTCCTCATCTAAAGGAAAGTGGTTTTATTCAGGGGCCAGCAACCTCAAAGAGGGAGGACTCTCGTCTCAAAGCCCATCCAAGCATGTCAGGCGTCCTGGCTAGTGTATATAGGGGAATTGTGGAAAGAGGGGAACTGAGGAATTTCTGGGGAAGTGCAGTTTCTCAGCTCTGCTCTCGGGTGGTTTCAATGTTATCTCCTGTGTGTGTGGTCATACAGTTTCATTGTTCCATCTGCAGTTTTACTGCTAATATCTGGGAACAGGACCCCTAGGCAGCATTTCTGCTGGTTCTGATAGGAATCGATGATGCCCAATTTTTTGTGGTCAGGGTTGTTCCTTGGTTAAGCAGGAGCTGCAACTGCTGATGTCTACAAAATTCTTATAAGGAAAATTTTAATACATGAATCTTTTGTGCGTTTGTTAGTACAGCTTATTCTATAATTTCCACCTGAGTAGTATACTATGTTTATTTCAATTGTGGTTACAGTTCCCCATGGTCAATTCTTCCTTCATATCTATAGAGCTATTGATGTCCTCTGAGTCTTCTGGGAGAATGAAAAACCTGAGCCTGTTGTAAAGCAAAACCTTGTGAATTAAAAGCAGATATCTATTTATCTATCTATCTATGTCTATATATGTGTGTGTATGTGTATATATGTATATATATTTAAAATGTTATTTATTTTTAGAGAGAGGGGAAGGGCGGGAGAGAGAGAAACATTGGTGTGTATATATATATTTAATATGTTATTTATTTGTTTTTAGAGAGGGGAAGGGCGGGAGAAAGAGAAACATTGGTCGGTTGCCTCTCACATGCCCCTAACTGGGGATCTGACTCACAACCCAGGCATGTGCCCTGACCAGGAATTGAACCAGTGACCTTTTGGCTCACAGGCCAGTGCTCAATCCACTGAGCCACATGAGCCAGTACAAAAGCAGATATATATTATTAGAGGCACCTGTTGAGCAGATACAATTTTTCCATCATGGGAAAAACAAGCCATAAAGAGCTTTGAAACAATAAAGAAAAGCATTATAAAGAAAAGAATGGTTAAACCAAAATTAAAAATTCCTGCCAATATGGATCTGAGTCCTTGTGGTATCCATGAAAATAAATTCACAAACCAATCTCCAGTTCCCTCAAAGAGAGGGGTGGGGTGGCCCAATGTTTGCTGAAGCCTGTTGCCTGATTTTGGTGATGCTTGTTTCCTACTGGAGCTGAGTCAATGTAAGTACACCGACAGGACTTGGCGGTAGTGCAAACTCCTTGTTCCGCGGGTATGTAGTCCAAGGCACTTCGCTTGTCTAAGACCACTTTAGCTGGAAGGGTCCAGAGATTTCTGAATATTGGCAAGTGATGTGGCAGTTTTGTTGGTTATGGTGATTGAAGTCTTGGAGAGATTCCAAAGTACATGCTGATGTGCAGCTACTCCCCACCAAGGTAACAGAAGACCTCTGAAGAAATATTCATCACCATCTGGGATTTCTCCCAGAGGATCGCAGGCCATTCGGGTGAACGTTGATTGCTCACTCTGGAGTGCCATCTGCCCAAACAGTTTTATACTTGCATGGAGATCTCAGGGAGGGACAGCTCTCCTCTGGGGCTCCCTGGACGGGTTAAAAGCGTCTGGAGTTGGAGTGCATGTTCCGCTCCAGTGGGGTCTGCAGGTGAAGCTGCTGCCTTCCAGGAGAAAAGGTTACTTAGTGGGCAATTTGCAGAGCGAGTCCTGTCCCAGCAGAGGGATGGGACATTCAGGTAAATAGAGGAAGCTGTGTGATGACTTCGGATCTCTGAGTTGGCGTTCCGGAGCCTGGAGGGAGGCTTGTTGCTGCATTGGCTCATTACCCCTGTGACCAAGACTGTTGTGGGGTTTTTTATTATTTTTTTAGTCAACGTGGCGTTTGAATACAGTATGTGGCTCCCGTGTCTAGTGAAAATCAGTCAACTTGTTCCCCACTGTCAGTTGTTTCCGAGGATCCCGTGGGGAAACAATGATTGGTCGGGAGGTGTCTAGAGGAGCCCCTGGCCCCCTGGGCCCCCTCATTTGTCATCTGAGTCACCCTTCCATTTCACCATCTGCCAACGTGCCTCTTTTTATTCTATTTTTCCTATGCCCGTTGCTAGGCACCCGAGGCTTTGCCTTGGTGACCTTCTGCACCTGGTCTATCATCCTTGCTCCAATCTGTGCACAAGTGAAAAATAAAACTTTGAAGCCAACTAACTGAACTAGACTTTAATGTCCATAACTGTGTATTGTCGTCTGTTGAAACATAATTTCTCCCCCTAAAATCACCCTCATTTTTATCAAAAAACCAAATTAAAACTAATTCATTTACTGCTGTAGGTCCAGTTTCAGTTCAGCCTGATTATTTGCATAAACACAGTGGGAGTAGCAGTTGTTCATATAGGCTCTCTTAAGTGTGCTTTGCTGGAATTTTAAAAGGAATTTTCAAATTGAGCTTAATTCACCCCACAGGGCAGAAAAGCCAAGCCACCCGGTTCCTCTTATTCTTGAGGTTCCCTCACATGCCTGGAGGTTCTTTCTTGCTGTCTCCCAGGAAAGTAATCTTTGCTCCTTACCTGGAAAGACTGCCATGAAACTTAGGAATAAGCAAGGTACCAGGCCATTTCTCCACAGGGATTTTATCAGCTTCGAAGCCAGTCTTCATTCTTTAAGGCTTTGCTGACATCCAGAGTCTAGGCATGTCTCTCTCAGACACAACATTCCAGTCAGTCTTGGTTAATAGAATCACAATTGGAGACTGACTTTGTGTGTCCTATTGGATTTATGCAAATAAACATATTGCCATAGGAATAATAATACTCATTAAGAGTTTCCAAATTCCAGAGGGATCAGGTAAGGAGAAAAATCTTAATGCCTCAATATTTCTCAGGAAAGTGTAATTTACCAAATTGCTTTTAGGAAAAAAGAAGTTTCCTTATGTCTGAAAAACAAAAAGATTAAAAATTAACACGATTTGCAACAGAAAGTTACAAAAATTAAAATGGTCTTCATTCTGTCCCATGAT